TCCAAGGCGTTCGATAATTGTGATATAAGGAGTAAGAAGAACATTCAGGTGCCGAGCATCCACAACGATGAGTCCATGAAGGGTGAAGTAATCTACCTCTCGGAGTTGGTGATCTCTCCGTCCCCTCAGATGCAAAGATCTGCTTCCAAAATCTCTAACTCCCCGAACAGAACTTTGACCCCCTCTTACCATTTCCACATATCACCTCCGCCACCAACCTTTTCCTCAGCTCTACGGTTTTAAATGATATAAGAGTGACAATGACATGTTCTAGACCAGCGTCAGATCATCGTTCATTCTGAGGTGGCGAAACGACCACCAGCGAGCAGAGATTCTGCACCCGAGTAGTGTTCATGTTGCTTTTGGGCCCTTGAAGAGCGAGCGGGAATAAGGTATTAGGCAAGTGGGTGGCAGACAGCATATGATGCCAATCAACGCACGACTAGCTAGCTGCCTTTTAGTTGTGGCTTCCATTATCATAATCACCTTACCACACTCTCTGAAGGGTATTATATCAGCAGTATATAAAGAATAGATAGAATAATAGTAGTAATGATGACAGCCAGAATAATAACCATAATGGGAGTAACAAAGTGATGGTAATAATGTAAATAAGAGAGATAGAGAAAATGTATGAAGCGGTAAACTGTTGTGCCACCCTACTTGGTAGGCAACGTACCAAGAGAAGCTTCCTTGGGAGAAGAGTACACATGCACCAGTCTTTCCATCTCTGTGGATTTTATGAACGGCTTCCCTGGCGCTTAGATTGATGAACAGCATCTATAACATGGCCCTTCTAGGCTTTCTCGCCCAAAGAGAGGGGGGGCGAGAATAGGGGCTACCTACCATAAAGGGGTAAAATTGTACACGAAAAAAAGTAGTGAAGGATTCACCCTTGATACGAAAGAACCGCTTCGAAGCTGCCTAGAATCGCATATAAAATTTCACTTCTCCAAGAGTCGTACTGATTTCTACTCATCCTTATCCAAAATTCAGCGAAAACAGTCATCTAGACTGACCCATACGAGGGGCAGACTTCCCGTCCCTCAACGCATCAAAAATACTCAGAAGATGGGCTCAGGAAGGTTCGAATCTCGTCCTCGAAGAATTGTGGCTCGGGCTTAGTACGGGAATATGGCAGGACATTGATTCTGCCTATCATCATCGGGCGATGCTTGCCCTTCCGACGCTCGACTAGGTCGAGGTACTTGCGACAGTCAACATGTATTGTTACAACATGTAGGCAAGTTATCTTTGGTCATGAAGGCGTGATGCTCCGCCGACAGCGAATGTGGTTGGGCTTTTCACATATCCTGAGGTGATGAACAGTGGCCCGGAACACAAGCCATCTAAGAAATTTGGTCACCTCTAAAGTCAGAAGCATCACCGCAAACCCCAAATGTTTTGCAAACACCGAGCTAATAAAATCCACGGAAGTGGCTTCAGGACTGGAAAGAATGAGAGCTTTTACCTTTGCTATTGACCAATTAACATCTTCAAGATGTTCAGATTGACATACCTGAGGGTAATAGCCGACGACGCATATAGTTCAGAGACCGAAACAGAACACTCTGCCATTCACAAGCAGGAGCAGTCGTCTCAAGAACCCCATCCCCCAATTGTCGCTCATCCCAAGGGGGTGTACACCCCCCTGTATCGACTTACAAAAGCCCTGATTGGCTGCCGTTCCTGCCATTCGATGTTCCGTCATACTTTAGTTGGCCACGCCATAAGCCGTTCAACAATTCTTCCGCACCATGCGCACACCAACTTCACCACGTCTGTGGACGTGAAAGCCCCCACTGCGGTCAGAAGTCGAAAAGTTCCAATGAATGCTATCAATCAGCTTTCGATCGGGAGGCCAAGCCGGTGTCTCGGAAGTGCCAACGATAGAAGCCATAGTAAGAAATCAGCAGGCTTAGGAACGCCATTAGGCTGGCTGTTGAAGTTGTTCCTGTTTCAAAGCCATATGAGAAGCTGGCCTCTGATCGGAGATGTCACCGGGCAAGTAGGATTCGACGGGACCCATAAACCTGTACCGAGATCCTTTCCAGGACATGCATGCAACTCTGCACGCAGGAAGTGAGCAGAGGCCAGTTCACCCACGCAGTAGCGTGTCAACACCCTAGAGGACGCCTTCAACAGACATCTGTATCTATCGTGATAAGTTTGATTGATCGCTGAGAAGCGGGAAAGAATCTGCTGGTACTTTTGGTGCCATTCCTGGTACGCTTGGTCGGGTTGTCCTCGCCAACCGATGTTATCTGTAATCAGAGCCTCTCTGGTTTGGCACGCTCAATGGACCTCGGGTTGCATTGGCCGCATTTCAAGGCCTAGAAGGATTTTCTAACAGTGGTTAATCAAGGCATAACTCGAGGCAAAGTGCTGAATCCCGTGGAACAGAATGGTGAGACACGGCTGCAATATTGGGATCCTAAGACTCCCCGACCTAGGCCAGGTGGCCAGGTCGATAAATCATCGATGTTGAATGTGTATTTTCGTCCGTGGCGTTTTACTTTCGTCTTCGGCAGTTCTCAGACGCTCACTCAGCTCACAAGCTGCATGGGAGTGCGTAAACGGTAAAGGGGGTGTTGTCAGTTTACCTTGCGAACTTGCATTTTCCATCTGCTATCCGGACCCGATTACCTTAACCGTTTGAAAGTCCGAAGGGTCATTCCAAGTCGTGTCGGGTACCACTGGAATGTAAAAACGGGAAGATTCTGGCGTGCATGTATCTTTCCGGGTCTCTGTTACATGATCCGCATGTGTGACGTTCAGCATCAGGGCTTCAGCATGTTGTTGTTGGAGGTATGGAAGTCTGGCGTTTGATCCGGGATAAATAATAGCATACCATTTGCATATGGTCACTGATGAAAGTGACATGATATAGAGTGATGTAGTGGCAGCCGTGTTTTCGCAACAATGCGTTACTCCAACAGTTGATCTTTGGATGTGTACTCCGTACCACCTCCCCTACCCCACGGCTGGCGCGTGACATCCAGGATTGATTCGCTCAGGCGCTCGTATCTCTGGCCTTTAGAGTAGAGTCGGGAGAAACGGTTGCGTTGGTTTCGGAGATATTCCAGTACTTTGAGGGAGCCATGCAAAGTGATGAGAGTCTCGGCCGTCGAAAATCGAGATACCCCTTATCCCCGATGTGCGGTATAGGTGCAGCCGATTTCGACCTTCTTGGAGAGATAATCGACGGTATAGGATACAATACGTAGTTGGCCAATTTCTTACAATGATTTCACTTCTAAAATCACACGAATGAGGAATGTTGTGATACTCGAGACGTGGTGCATGGAGATCGGATTTAATATTGGTCAATGGCGATGGTGTATGGTGGAGTATTATCCATGTAACTTAAGCGTGAGGCGTTTCGATGCTGCGCAGGGTAGCAGGCAAGGTACCTTGGGTGGGAGCAGTGTCATCGAGATCGTCGTGGCAATGAGTCGGATCGTTGACTCTATGGCGGGGATGAATTCGAATCTGGGCCGTCTGGCGAATTGGCTGCAAGGAATTGGGTTCTAGATTCTGTTCGCTCGCAGTAAGAGGTGCCTATGTCCTGCAATCAGTGATTTGAAACATTGCCGAGGGCCATCAATGAAGACGAGGATATCTGCGAAGCATCATGAGTTGATACCGGAGACAGAATGGAAAGGGGCTGGCCGAGATGCGGAGCTGGAGGATGAGATGCAGGTGAGAGGTTATGTTGGGAGTGAAAGCGTACGTGTCGTGCGTGTCTTGGAGCACTCTGAGGTGCGATGGCGATGGCGATGGCGATGGCGATCTTTGAGATGTTGATGATGAATGGGCATTACTGGAAACCGCACAGGCATCAGGTCATGATTGCATGTGATGAGCATGAAGAAATGATTGGAAGGAGTTGGAACCGATTGGCTATGAATTTTTCTTCTCCTTGACCACCCTGGTAGGTACGTTAAGGTAAGGGAAAGTGCGACGAAAAGCTGAAAGGGTACCGATACGTCGGTGGGGACTTGATCTCAACACGGTGCCTTGAGGAAGGTAAGTACGGAGTTGGCACTGCAGGTTCCCATGGAAGCCATGCTTAGCACACTGTGATAAACGGTACGAAAGGTGCAGAATAACCGTACAGCACCGACAGACGCACGTTGGAGCCGGTTATTATGCAGGATTTCAATGGAGGGCTGGACCTTCCCACAGCCAAGGATATGTAGACCAAGAAGATGCTTCTCCAGTATCCACCGTTCAAAGGTAGTCAGCAGGTGCGGCCAAGACATAATACACCTTAGTCAACTTGGTAAGCCACGTAAGGCATCTCGGGGATGGGCGACGCAAGTCATCCTTTTGCTCTATCAAGATTAGCAGAGCTAGGTAATACCAGGCACCGTCACCTTTACCTTGAGATGGAGTTAGGGGCGTGTGGCAAAGACGCGATGATGAGGCTTGACGAATGCTGTCGCGGCGACTGTGGGGAAGCAGAGCCCAGGATACCTACCCAGAAAGGGTAACTGAAAGAAACCGTTAGCGTTCACAAGGCGCAGGTGCGTCTGCAAGTTGTCAGTGCCCATTGAGTGTCATGCAGCAAGACAATGTTGTGCCAGAAGTAGTAAAGATTGGGGGACTGGGGAACGAACTACTGAGGGGAGGGGAGGGGAGGCGCCGGGCACTTGGGAAGGCGTCGATGAGAGGACCCGGGAAGTGAACCTTGGAAAGAAGCCAACCTGGAAAGGGACATGGGAGGAGCAACCTAGGCCGTTTGATGGAAGGCAAGGTACCTCCCTAAGACGACGGATTATTACCTCACCTCAGGCGACTCGCGAAGGGCCCAGCGCCTGCCACCTACCTGGATTTGCCACCTAGCGCCTTCCCCTGCCGGAGTTTGATCCGGCGGCCAATCAGCAGCATTGTTTCCACCGGATTGAGTTCCGTGACGTTGGGCATCCATCACTGGTCGACTCTCCATAATCTTCCGGAAACCACCTGCCCAACCTATCAAGATACAGAAAGAATCACTTACCTTCTGGCCTTCATTTCGCTCTCAAATCTTGCACATCCCATACATTCCCGTAAGCCGTCCGTCCATCGCTCTCCCTCGCTCTCCCTCGCTTTCCCTCGCGCAGCCGATGCTGCTGGCTGGTCCTTGGTCCAAAGTCACTTGCTGTTCAGTTTCGCTACCCTCACCTCCTCGTCTTCTTCCACCAACACCACCACCACCACCACCACCACCACCGTCGCTACCACTTGGCACCGGCGTCTCCTCTTCTACTTCCTCCTCGTCCTCGTCCTCGTCCTCCTACTGTTGTCTGGGCATTGTACATTGTCCACCAAGACCCATACGCCACTCGACCCTGTCACCTCTCGCAATGGCTGGCCTTTCCCTTGAGCCCACGGATACTCCCCCAAACTTGACTCTCAGACAAACTCCATTTTCGGCTCCGACTTCAACCCCATTGCGCTCCTTGACTTTTGGTCCCGTCTGCACTATGCGACCTCATCCTCGGCCGTCTTACTCTACCTTAGCAAACCACTTCTCAATATCCTCACATTTCGACTCTGGCGCCTTCTTACCATCAAAGCATTGCATTCAGGCCCCCAGTTCCGCTTCTACGTACAACCCCTCAGTTGTCGCCCTTGTGTCTATCCACCCTCCCGCTCGTTTTTGTTGCTTCGATACACACAACGCCGAATGTGACGACTGTGCGAGCCCTGTTCATCTCATAGCAGTACCTACGTCTTCGCTCCATGTACGCCACCCCATGTAGGTGTGAACGCACCGGCTGTCTTTCCTGTCCGTTGTTTGAGACATCTGGCAACTTAAGTCGCCTGATGTAAAAAGACACACATTGGGTGGAACAGCTGTAAATCTATTCTCTCACTTCATCCCCTGTCAGTTCCAGCCCCGGTAGAAACCCCCGACGCGCATATTCGCAGCCCTTCTCCCACGTCCTTCATTGGGGGGCCCGCTCAAATATCCTGTCGCGCCCCCATTCATCGGCATGGCACTTCAGCCCCAGTCACTTTGTTGCCCGTATCCTGTCGTAGACTTTGCACCAAACATACGCCCGACCCGAAGCCAGCAAACAGGAGTTCTTCCTCCTCCACCCCTGGTTTCCAAAACTAATCTTTTATTTTATTTTATTTTCATTCGCAACCATCTTCTGTCAGCATCTTCTTGCGGCTTTGATACTCATAGCCTCTCAAATTCAGATGCTAGCTGCTATCCAGCAAAGCCTTCGAGTTTTTCTTCAGATCTCGCCATCAACGCCGTCAAGACAATCTCCCTACTCGCCGAACCTACCAGGCCTAGCTAACCCAGAATGAGAGCCATCTGATGCCCATGCAGAAGGCAATATGACGGCTCAGTCAGTCTACCCCGAGTTGTTGCCAATGTATACTACACCACAGCAACCGCTCCTATCGCCCATAAACGAGTGTCAGCAGTGCCAGCGGTGGTCCGGATGCGATTGCTACGCGACTGACCCGGCAGTCTCTCCGGGTACTCCGGCCTCTTCGATGGCCTCCGTATACCAGGAGGTTGATATTCAGGCCTGTCAGATGTTCAACTCGGCGTCAGCGACTCCGTCGGACTTTCCAACGGCTAAATGGGCACCTCGATGCGAGGTATGGCCAACGTACCAGCAGTTGGACTTCCAGCCACCTGATTCCGTTATAAACAACCTACCTCATCCGTGGCCAAATCCCGTTAACACTACCCCTACTCTAGGCCAACACTGGCAACATTTGTCCGACAATCAACTCCAGGCTGATTTGAACCCGGGAAGAACGTCAACACGCCAAACGCCGAGGATGGCTTACGGTCGAAACCCGGAATCGATGCGTCAACCACCCATGAAGAAAGCACGTCTCGTGGCCAGAGAGCACGCCTCACGGATGGACACGGTTTCTTACGACGCAGACGCCAAGTGCACCGAGGCCGCCAACACGCACCAGCAAAGTGACCACGAAACCTGCTCTTCACCAAGACCGGAAGGGAAAAAGACGTATCGCGTCAAAAACCGAGCCGCCGCAAAGCGATGCCGCGAGAAGACAAAACAACATGAACTAGATCTCACTGCTCAAGAAAAGCAAGTTACACAAGAGCGAATGTATCTGGATGCTTATGTAGCAGCACTCAAAAACGAGATTCTAGTCCTGAGAAGCCAGATTCTTGAACACGGAGACTGCGACTGCGAGATAATCCGAGGATACATTGCAAGAACAGCTAATAATATCAGCATCGGGCTTCCTGGAGAATGCTAGTTGGCGTAGCGAGAGAATACAAGGGCAACATTTACTCATCCTGTCTTTCGCTGTTGGACGGATACAACGCCCGAAGTTCGAACAAGATCGAGGTCTTGAATATCAGGTATAGCAAAAGACTCTTGATGCTAGCCTCACATCTACACGATATGTGAATTAAGGTAGGCTTTCCTTCATTCTTTGCTCCAAGCACTCCTCCTCCTCCTCCACTTCTTCTTCTCTCTCCAGAGGCAGAGCAACAAGCTCTATGTTCGAGACCTTGGCCAGAGTCTGTTTACTTTGCATTCTTCCCGAAATTCCCACCATCTTGGACGCGGCTATTCTCTCGATACTATTCAGACCTCCCCCTCCTCTTACTAGACACAAGCTAACTACTGCTGTAGGCATATTGCACTGACCATGGCGGGTTTGTGCCATGTTCTCTCCATAAATCTCTGCTGCAATGTTGCGATGCAGTCAGCCAACCACAAGTACAATTTGGAGAAGCGCGCTCTGAGGGGGCAGAAAAACCCCCACCCCAAAGACGCCCCGGTTGGGCTTAACATCTCGGAACCACCCCCCGCCAATCAACGGCCGCCTGAGCCAGTTCCAGACGCCAAGACGACCCGATTAGCAGTGCCGCATGTATCTCGACCTGCTGGCGGGTTGCATTACAACTGGCGCCACCAGGGTCTTTGTGCAACCGAATGATCTCCTACGCTCAACTGTTTTCTTTTCTTCTTTCTTCACGCCTTTTCGTGTCTCCCCGCTTTATTCCCTTCGGCGGAATTTCATCGAAAGCAGTCGTAAGTTACTGATTCATTATCCGTTGTCGCCCGGGTGCACCAGGCTTGGGTTTTAGCAGCCATAAGCAAAGTGTGCAGATTGTCGGGAGTGTCTAATCCTAATTTCTGGCCGGGCTGCTGACACGAACCGACAGCTGAGCTGGGGTCCGATGCGCCAGCAAACTCTCGATAGCCACAGCGGCCACTCGCACCTACGACATCCTTGCATTTCTGTCCCTTCTGTGGATGGATGGATCGCGCAGCAGCAGCCTCTACCTTGCTAATGGGCTAGCCTGGCCATGGCCAGACGATTCCATGGCTTTGGGGAGCTTTGCGAGCCAAACTTAACCTCTTTTATGTGGTTTTCGTTTATTAATATTATTTTTCATTTCTTCCCTTTTTGGTTTTCTTATTTGCCTAGGGGGAATCGCGGCAGCTTTCCCGGCATCGGAACAATCCAAGTGGCCCAGCCAGCAACGGGCACGGGGATTTGGCCTGAGGGCCACCGTCTTGTCCATCCATTTCGTCATACCTGTCTACCTCACGAGCTCCCAAGAAATTGAGAAACTACTCGACGGGACGGGTCTTGTCAGCACTCCCAAACACCTGCAACAGCAAAATAACACCACGACGATAACGAGAACGATACAATCACTTCCAACATGGCCAGCGGGTGGGCAGTATGACACGCACCATCAAAACGACTGAGACTTACCAAGCGACGCGGCGGGCGGATCTGCTCTGGCGGTTGAGGCCCGCTCTGGCTCTGGCTCTGGCTGTGCCCTCACTCAATTCGTCCACCCGCGCCATTTCAATTGCTACGACGAATACGCAGACCTCGCCGTATCAGCTACACGCCTACGCCCATCATATCTACGCCTCCTTTTCCACTGTTTGTGGCCATCTCGGTTGCCTACCAGGCCTGCCCATGGTCCTGTGGCAACGCTCACGATGAAACCACAGCGCGAGCTTTTACCTGCGGGCCCAACAGCAGCCAGCAGCGCCTCATCGGAACGGGAGGCAACCCCGCAATCTGCCACTGGTACCACGTCTTCTGCACCAAGACGACGTCCCCAGACAAAAATTGCCTGCACCTCATGTCGCCGCAGGAAATCGAAATGCGATGGTCAACGTCCTGTGTGTTCCTTGTGCGCGGGCATGGGTCGCACCCGCTGCGAGTACGATGCCGGTCCCGACGTCACACGCTTCGCTGCCCTGAAAACAAAACACGAGGAGCTTCAACGCCGCCTTTCTCTCTTTGAAGAGCTCTTCCGCCTCCTATCTAAGCGCTCCGAGCCGGAATCCGTCGAAATTATTAGGCGGATGCGGACTCTGAATATGGAAACTGATCTGGACGACCTGGTTAAGTTCATCAAAAACGCCGACCTGCTCATCCAGCTGGCTTCTGCACAAGCTGAACCCCCTGCATCGGGGGCACCAGGTTCTGGCACGAACCACCAAGACCCTCCCGCAGAAGATCTTTCCTCCCTACTCGAGCTATTGTATATCACACTCAGCCTCATGGCTTCTCCATTCCCCGTGGCACTGGCTGACCCCAAGATATCAGAAAATCGGCGGTTTCCAAACTCGACGCAACGGCTCGCTTGGCCTTTCTTGATACGATAAGACTTCAAATCGAGGCCTTCATCTCTATCGAGCGTAGTCAGTCTGGCCCCGCTGAGTCGATCAAGATGGTAGGGCTGGTGGATGGGGAGATGGATGGTGCTGTGGATGGAGAACTACAGGACGGCGTCGATGGCGTGCACCGCCATGAGTCAGGGGTACCTCTCAAGCGACTACTAAACGATGATACGACGAAACCGAGATGATGCACGATGCATGTTATGGAAGGCCGACACGTCTTTGCATGGCAGGTATGACGGACGATGCTTACGAATGGGCGAAGCAGTTGGGCTCGCATGACGAAGGCGTTTTCAAAAACTAATCAGCAACGCTTGAGACGGCAATATCTACATATTGGCTGCGTATTACTCAGCGGCACGATGGGTCTAGGTCCTGCCCATGGCGATAGTCTTACTTCGACGACGGTACTCTGCATGGTATCCGGAGATCACGAGCCATTGGGAGTATCACGGCTGTACAACTTTGCACAAGCAGCGACGCCGGCCCTGACACATCATGGCTCGTTCAAGGTTCCACAACGGGACGAGGAAGTTGGAAAGACGGGTGCGGGAGGCATCGAATGCCGAAGTTCATGTTCAGCGGCTGCACGGGCAGAAAGGGAGCACGACGTCGCATCTGCGGACACCAAATATGCCTTTCGGAGATTTGCTATGCCCGGGAGAGGGGCAGCATGCAAAAGAAAAGAGCCAACAAGACGAATCTCTTGACGAATTTAAGGTATCGTGATATTTTAACGAACTCGAGTTATAAGGTATTTGCCGAGTCGCTTCGCATTACACAAAAGGAACAGTGAGCCTACTCTGGAATACAGAACGACATTATTCAGTGGTTCGTTCGGCTTAGGGTGAATACTTCTTTAGACTTAAGCATGTGACCGACCTTTCAGCTTACACACCAAGAACTGAGCTTTAAGCTGTCAAGTCGAGCCCTGTGACAGTATCACCCTACAAAAAGGTCTACTGGGATGAGATGGGCTGGCTTTCTTTTCAGCCTCTTCCGGCTGTACGTCAAATGAATGCGAATGTCTCGATCAAAACGTCATGATGCGCACTGATGGGAGGGTGTGGTCCATGCCGGAGCACTAAGGTAGTTCAGGGGTGTTTGTCCCTTGTACGTTGGTACCTAGTGAAGAATGAGGTATCCGTGCCAAACTACGGGGTCCTCTTTCTGGGCTAATTTTTGTTATATTTTGTTCTATTCCCCTCCGGTCTACGGTGTGCCTTTTTCCCTTCTCCAGCGGTCGCTCAAGGGTGACGGACGATATCTCATGTTCCCAGCCTTTCTAGCCCTACCGGGCGTGCAGGCGTACGACGCCTCGGGCCGAGTGCTGCATTGTAAACGTGCCCTTGCCTCTTACCTCTAATGGTCAGATGTTAATCACGGTTGGCCGATAGGGGAGAGAATATTGGACAGAGAGACACGATAAATCGATAAGTAATCAGGCGAGAGTGTAATTCCTGATGCAGCGTCAACGCCATTGAGGACTGAGAGTCTGTGGCACGTGATGTCTTTTCGGAAAGGGGAAGATTGATTCCATGAAGGCGTACGGAGTACCACAGTACGGACGGTTCCTTTGAATATGGGTACCTACACAAGGCTAGGTGCCGGCAGGCAACTAAACCAGCTGCAGGCGAGGGAAAAAAACAACAAAGGGCGGTAAGAGAATGGTGGCTGGGGAAAGGAGAAAAAGAGAGACACATGGGGGGACCATCAGAGCGATGAACCTCGAGGGCCAAGATCTCTTTCAGACGGCGCGCGTGTCTAAGAGCGGAGAGAGGGAAAAGGAGGATCACGATGCACTTTTTAATCCGTTTGTTGTTTGCGGCAGCAGCCAGCTAGCAGCAGTAGCGACAGGACCAGTCACGGGAGCGAGCGGTCGGTCGGTCAGTCTTCGGCCGACGTGGTTATCGGTTCCGACTTCCGGTTCCGAAAAAGTTCCAAGGTCCATGTTCCCTGAACTTTGAGCATGGTCAGTTAGACTTTTGGGAGCCTCAGAGCTTAGAGAAAAGGAAGGTTTGCCAGATTGCCATGAAAAAGACCGAGAAGAAGACTAAATATCGGTTCGACGGGTTTGCGATGGGCCCGACAACTTGCGAGTCTGCAATGCGACAGCAACCCGAACCCATCAAGTTCTTTCGTCACCCATGTTGCGTTCTTCTTTTGGCGGCTTGGTCCAGGTTTGGTTATTGCTCTACATTCTGGGTTAATGATCGGATGTTCTTCCGCGCACGTGTGTGCGTGTGCGATGTGAGATTACCTGTTCCTCTCAAAGAACCAATTGCAGGCTTTTCCCCTTGAGCTTTTTGCCTGGCTATGGAATTGGACGGATACCTACCCTCACGGATATTGAAGGTACACGTTTGGTGGTGCTCCACTTTTCCGGTTTCGTCCTAAAGAGGATTGGGGCCGGCTAGGTTGGCAGGTGCGGTTTAGTACTAAAGGGAAAGTAAGAGGGGAACGTGGGAAAGGAAAGGTGAGGGAGAGACCTGAGAGGAAGTGATGGCGGGGACGTGGAGGAGACAAGTCACAGAACATGCGGCGGCTTTTTTGGCGCGGGATTCTCCGTGCTGAGGGTGATGTGGATGTGAGATGGACGAGACGAGGCTGGCTGGCACGTGCCAGGGTAATATGGAAGCTGGCCAGGATCTTGTCACCTTGTCTATATTAGAGAGGAAAAGCGTTCGAGAGGCACGTGGAAGGTACCAGCATTCGAAAAGGTACTTTGGGAAGTTTGGGGTAATCCGTAACTTGATGAGATCTGGTTGCGGGTGGGCGCGTGGGTGAAGTACCTCGGGTGAGCCGCCATCATAGTACGGATACAGAGTATGGAGTACCAGGTAATACCTAATTTATGCACAGACCAGATTTGAGCGGTTGTATCCGTATAATGTAAGCAAATGAGGCTGGAGGCTTGAGGCTTGAAGTATTGTACCAGAGTGCGGCGGGAGAATTACTGTGGCATAAGGTACGTACTTTGAGCGATGGGGGTCGTTTCCGAGGGTTGAAAGCGGCCGGAGCCGGCGTGGGAGACGGGACATGCGAGGATTGCAAGGGATGCTGTGAAGCGTCGGCGGTTGGCGGGAACCGAACCGTTCGGGGGGTGTTGAGCAGTCAGAACTTTTGAAAGAGTGTGGTTCCGCTACCGGCCGGATGCCGAGTGTCTAGGTCATTAGTGCTTGATGACTCTTTTCCGTTCTCATATGTGCATCTCACTAGGTATGGATAATCTGGTATGCGAGGTATTGGCAGTCATACTGTTTCGTTTTCGAGCAGTCATGGATTCGGTGATTCAGTCACGGTGAAATCACCACTCTTTTCAATTGTTGCTGTTATATGGTTGACGGCGTCACGGACTTCTTCTGATTCGAGTAAAGATGCGCATTTTGTGTCTCTCCAGATCTCGATCGTAGAAAGACATGTTGTTGAGGGGGCAGCATTATTGGAAGATCAGAGGAATATTCCTTCCAAAGCACTTCGAGATAATGTCATGATTGCGTTGTTCGATAATCTGTGGTTGGTGATTTTTTGTGTGGAGAAGCGGGAGCCGGAAGACTAGGCAGTTAGGCGGGGGAATATCCGTAGGGGAACCAGAGAAATCTCGATAGTGCGGTATACCGCATATGCTCTATAAGGCAAGTTTCCCCCCCTTTAGAGGGGTAGGCAGTCGTCTTTGTCAGACCTTCTTGCATTATGCGGCTCTCCATACATCCAGCACCCAGGAGAGAGTGTTCCGAGTATGTGTCTGCTGATCTGCGCTGTCTTACAGACTCAGGCAAGTTCGGTGTTGGAGTAAAGATGTCATGGGTTCGGATGTGGTCTGCTGGGCCAAAAAATGATTCATGATTTCTTACCATTGTTTGGTTTCGGTGGTGGAGTTCTTAGAGGCCGAGAATCGGCCCAGAGTCCAGACCTTCCCGGGGCGAGGTTTTCAACGACTAATTGAAATACGCCATTGGTCGGTTTTCGACTCGCGACTTTCGCCTTGAGCCGCCCCGACGCCCTTGACTAACATGAACTTGTCAGTGAAGGGCACAGTCAACAGACAACATGACCATTTCCCCGGGGGTTGCTTCACTTTATTCCCACCAATATTACGCTAATAGCATTGATTCTATAACGCCCAAAAGGGAGAAAGCGGCGCACGGCATGAGGGATGCGTAAAAGGTCTTGTCGATGTTGAAAGACATGCGGAAAAGATGAGAGGGAAAAGAGAGGCTGACCGGGGTAGGATGGTTCGGTCAAATTACCCACATCAAATAATCCTGTGTAAAGAACGCGAAACCGCGAAGTCTTTCTCTCTTGTAATATGCTAATGCCTTACGAAACCCAAAGAGCTAGTTAGTTAGGTCCATGTGCCACATCCCGGCCTAGTAAAGGAAGCCGGGAACCTACCTTATTCACACAACGAGCGGCTATCGGTTATTCATCCCCCGTTGTTCGCAGGACCCCTGGGAGGCAAACCTGGGGTAAAGAAAAAAGTTTTCCCTCCCCTTCCCTCTAGCGTTCCTGCCGCTCTTTGCATTGCATGACTACATGACTTGTACACTTTGCCTCTTCCGAGAATGATTCCATGGTCCTTTTGAAGCAAAGTCCGTGTGCGTACCTTGGTTGCTTGATCTCTTGATTGGTTTGGAAATGACTGGATAATTGCATCAAATCACCTAACCCAACAACACACCTCGTCTACACACACCCAAACGAACGAGCGAACCCCTACTACTTACCCACCCACTCCTCCAGACACAGGCCCATCTCTAGCCGAAAGAGCGAAGAGGCGAAAGGGAACTAGTAAGAAAAAGTACAAGTAGGTTCGTTGATCCGCTTTCCCTCGCAACGGCCCGCGGAGGGTAGTGTTGGTATTAGTCGACACTCTTTCTCCTCCAGAGAAGAGCCTGTTTTATAAGAGACTGGCATCTGTTAAAGCTTCGACAACCTCGTTACCGCCAGTACTTTTGCACATCGGGTCTCGCTTGAAAGGACTGAGAGGCTTTTGAAGGCTCGGACTGAAGGTTGTGTACGGAGAACAGAGGATCAGAGCACCGTGTACAAGACAGCAACCCGAGGCAAAGACAAGTCAACGGAAGCAGGAGGGAAAAACGTGGCCAGCAGAATTGCAAGACTGCAAGGCGAAAGTCAAACCAGAAAGAGGGAAGAAGAAGATCTGAAGATCGAGGGGGGAATTACCCAAAAGAAACAGGCCAGCACGATACACAATACGGAGCCTCGCTCTCTTATTCTCCCTCTCTCTCCTCTTCTGTCCTCACTTCATCCAGCCGTCCATCCATCCCACATGGACCCAGAAAAGGCTTCCACAACCCGCCAAGGCGAGCACATTGCTCCCGAACCGGACTACAGCAACTATGACTACCCGCTCCCCAGCAAGACAGAGAGCGCAGCCCACGACGGCGCCGCGGCAGTCATAGGCAACGACCTGATTCCCTCCGTCTCCAACGCCGTCGCTGGCGCAGGCGGCGCCAACTACCACCAACAACGCAACAATGACTTCAACAACAAGAATGACAATGCCGCCTACAGCAAGGAAGTCAGAGGAGAAGGAGAACGGGGCGTCGGTGACACAACCGACGACGACGGCAACTACATCCACCGCACCGACACCGCGGGCGGTGCCTCGACGATAGCAGAGGAAGAGACCTATCCCGAGGGCGGGCTCCGGGCGTGGTCTGTCGTTCTGGGGTCCTGGCTGGCGCTGTTCTCGGCCCTGGGCATCATGAACAGCATCGCCATCTTCCAGACGTACGTTGCGACGCACCAGCTCAAGGGGTACAGCGAGGGAACGATTGGGTGGATCTTTTCCGTGTATACGTTCCTCTGCTTCTTTGGAGGTATTTATATCGGGCCCGTGTTTGACCAGTATGGGCCGCGGTGGCTTGTTCTCGCTGGGACGGTGTGTCTCGTTATCGGCGTTATGTTGCTGAGCATCTGCACTGGTAAGTCACACACACACACACACTCACAACACCAACCATGCTGCCTCATCACATCACTCCTCCCACCCAGACAGACCACCTTCGAACCACATCCCTGAAAGAGAGGACCCAAAACATAAAGACGCGCGCTAACACATCCCCTCACAAGTATACTGGCACTTCATGCTCGCCTTCGGCATCCTCTGCGGCCTCGGCAGCTCCCTCGTCTTCACCCCCTCCATCGCAGCCGTAGGCCACTGGTTCAAGCGCCGCCGCGGCTTCGCCACAGGCATGGCCTCCACCGGCGGCTCCATCGGCGGCATCGTCTTTCCCCTCATGATGAAGTCCCTCTTTCCCGTCATCGGCTGGGGCTGGACCATCCGCGCCGTCGGCTTCATCTGCCTCGCCCTCTGCGGCGCCTCCAATTTTCTGATACGTTCGCGCCTCCCGCCCGCCCGCAACGCAAGCCCGCACCCGGACCCGCGCATCTTTCGCAGCGCGGCGTTTAGTCTCACGACGGCGGGCATCTTTCTCATGGAGTTTGCGCTGTTTATCCCGCTGACGTATATCTCGAGTTACACGCTCAGCGAAGGGTTCAGCGAGTCCTTTGCGTTTTCCATCCTGCCTATCCTCAATGCTGGCAGCGTCCTCGGTAGGGCGCTGCCCGGGTGGTGGGCTGATAGGGCTGGGCCGTTTAATAGCAACATGGCTGCTATTGTGTTGTCCATTATTGCGTGTCTGGCGGTCTGGTTGCCCGCGGGTTCGACGGCGGCGGGCGTGGTGGTTTTCGCCGTGCTGTTTGGGTTCGCGAGTGGGAACAATATCAGTATCAGTCCCGTGTGCGTTGGGCGGTTGTGCAAGACGCAGCATTACGGGCGGTATTATTCGACGACGTATACCGCCGTCTCGGTCGCGTGTCTGATTGGTATCCCCATTGGTGGCGAGATTGTCACGGCGACGGGGGGCAAGTATTGGGGTCTCATCATCTTCACCGGGCTGATTTATGTTTTGGCCTTGGTGGCGCTCATGGCTGCCAAGTTTGTGTGCGTTGGAAAGAATATTTGGGCCAATTTTTAGACGAAGGAAAGAAAGAGAAAGAGAGGGGGATCGGCGTACTTTGGAGCAACGAAAAATCCCAGGTCTTGGCACATAAGAAGGGATGGCATATCAAAAAGGCAACTATGATGAGAATTGTACATATAATGAAGCTAGACACGAAGTAAATTGTAATGATGTAAGCTTACCTCACATTTGGCTGATTAGTTGTCCCATCCCGAACGGGAAGCTCTGATACTCGGCTATCGGTGCCGAATGAAAAAAAAAATAAAAAAAAATCGAATGATACCAGTTCTGAGTCACTTGTGTTGAGATTTGAGATTTGAACCGCGGTTGGAACGACGTGAAGGCCGACGGGACGTCGTTGCGAAGCCCCGAAGCAAGTACGTTCCCAGAAATCCGCAGCAGATTCCATCCCGGAGGTGCGGGTCGGTAGGGCACGGGCCTCCTTCGGCCCGTGCGGAGGAACCGAACCGGCGCCTGGAAACGACGGTTTAAAACCCTCGCTGCGTTCCCTCCTCTTCGTCGTTTGTGGTGTTTTTTATTTCTTTTCAATAATCTTTGTGGTACAAAAGCTTCGGAGATAGAACGTTTCGACACATTCCTCTCATACACGCTTCGAGACTGTACTCTTTGAACTTACAGAGACCCTGAATTTCTAAGGTGAGTTTTACGTGTAAGACACGTCATATGGAAGAGTGGGCGCCGGAGAACCGAGGTCCGGCGGAGGTTATGGGCTGAGTAAAGGAGATGGGCTCTTATCTCTCATACGCCTTATACGCCCTACGTTTGGACATCAATGAGGATGAATATGGCTACCGGAGATAACAAACTTGTCTATAAAGTTACCTACTAACACTTCCCAGGTCTTACTCATACGTCAGGATCGCCCTTATCACACCAACCAATTCTCCCTGTCACCGAGGTCTCATATAAATCTCACCACCACATATCACTCAACACATAAACAGCGCGGCTACTCGCCCGGGAGGTTTCCTTCACATCACCTCTTCATCGCAACACAACTCCAAAATGTCGCTCCCCACGGAAACGGCAGAACGCCAAGAAGACGCCTACTTCTCCTCCCAACCGCCCCCCAAAAACCTCGAATCCCACGTCGCCGCCGCCCGCTCCTTCATAGACCATCACGCCGCCTCCAGCCGACGCATCGTCCTCGTCACCTCGGGCGGCACCACCGTGCCCCTCGAGAAGCAGACGGTCCGCTTCATCGACAACTTCTCCGCGGGCACCCGCGGCGCCACCTCGGCCGAGTACTTTCTCGAGGCCGGCTACGCCGTCATCTTTTTGCATCGTCAGTTCTCGCTGCAGCCGTACTCGCGCCACTACTCCCACGCAACGGATTGCTTTTTGGATTTCTTGGCCGAGGGCGAGGATGGTACTGTTGTCGCGAACGCTGCGCATCAGGAACGCATGCGTGCTGTGCTGCGCAAGTATACCGCCGCCAAGAGGGGTAATATGTTGCTGATGCTGCCGTTTACTACGATTACGGATTACATGTTTGAGCTGCGCGCCATTGCGGGCTTGTTGAGGCCCCTGGGCCCGTCGGCGCTCCTCTACCTTGCCGCCGCGGTGTCTGACTTCTTCCTGCCTCAAGATAGGATGGCCGAGCACAAGATCCAGTCCACCAACGCCACGGACTCTTTCTCTGGGGCTGGAGCTGGAGCAGGATCAGCTACAGCGACTACCACAGCCAAAACCGCCGGAACCAGCACCAGCAACGGCGACAGCAACGGCAACACCTCCAACGCAGAAGACGAAGAAGCTTTCGACAACTTTGACTCTACCAAAGTAGCAAAATCCAAATCCCTCGTAATTGACCTCGACCCCGTCCCCAAATTCCTCCAGAACCTCGTCGACGGCTGGGCCCCGCAGGGCATGGTCGTCAGCTTCAAGCTCGAGACGGACCCGGCCATCCTCGTGCACAAGGCCAAGTACTCCCTCGAGCGGTACCAGCACCACCTCGTCATCGGCAACCTGCTGTCCACGCGCAAGTGGGAGGTCGTCTTCGTCGCGCCCGGTCGGGCGGACCGCTGGGTTCGCGTGCCGAGCGTCCAGCGCAAGACGCCCGGCGGCGGTGATGAGAGTAGTGGTGGTACCTGGGAGGATAAGCCGCTTGACCCCAGCGCGCTGCCGGAGAGTGACCCCGAGATGGAGATTGAGAGCTTGATCATCCCTGCTGTGCAGGATTTGCATTCGCAGCACATTGAGTCGCTGTAGGAGTAGAGGCAGAAAGAGAGAGAGAGTGTGTGTGTGTGTCAGCGACGGGAGCAATGGTTTCAGGGTTTCTGGCAAAGACGTTTTGGCAAGCGTCACGTATGTAACGGCATAGCGCGCATCAAATGGTAATAAAAAAAGTGTATCAAGTACAATTGCTTCTCTCTCTTTTCTCTCTGTCTCGCTCTCTATGAAAGGTCCTCCAAACCGTGCGCGCTTCGTGATGCTTTATATGATACATGTACACCCCCCCTGGGTTTTCTGCACAGCGCAAGCTTTTTTACCTTATTTGGACGACGGCGCCAAACGCCAAGCTCTCATGGGGAGTGACTGCAAATGCAGGACCCTCGGTCGGATGTAAAGCAAGAACGTGACCACGCCGAAGATGACGCAGATGATGTTGACAAAGTAGTATCCGTCGCGCACCATCTCACACGTGCCGCCACCGTTGACACACTTCTCCTTTTCTGGCTGTAGGGAGCAAGAAAAGGGGTCGGTGATAACGGGGCCCTTGAGAGCGTTTAGGTCCGCGGGGTTGCCGGGTTTGCAGGTCGCGACGGTGAAGTAGTCGACAAGACGCAACACGAAGAAGCGCGGGAAAGTACCGCCAAGGTTGCAGACGCTGCGGTGAACGAATTAGCAAGGAGGATCAGGTGAAAAGGTGCCCATGGAAAAACTTACGTAGCCAAGAGAGTCATATAAGTGCCGCCGATGACGGGATCTGCGATTCTAGCGTGGAAAGCAGAGACGGCGACAAACATGACCGTGTTTGTAAAGGTCGAAAAGACATGCTCACCAATGACGACGAGCATGTACCAAGAAGTAACGCCGCCAGCCGGGAAAATGGTAACAGTGAACTGGGCAATGAGAGCAGCGACGAGGCGGCCCATGAAACCCCAGCACCATAGGCGCATGGGCGTGTATTCCTGAGACCATTTGCCCGCGTAGTAGCCAAGAGCAATTTCAAAGGGGAAATCGATGAGAACCGTCAGCGCCATGTTCTCCTGGCCGAATCCCTTGTCAATGAGCTTCAGATTGGTGACCGCATCGTTGGCCTGGAATCCAATCTTGGCAATAAGATGAACAATGATAATGGTCTGGATGTTCTTCAACTTGAGAACACCCCACATGATCTTGTACACATCCCAGATGCCGTCCTCATTCTTGGTTCTCTCCTCACGCTTGAAGAGAGAGAGCCCGAGGGTGATGGCAATGTACGCCCAGCCCCAGAAAGTCAGGTATCCGCCAAGGGACATGAGACCATGGTCCAGGGGAGAGCTGCGGAAGTAGCGGTTTGCAAAGTCCTTGGAGTTGAAGGCCAAAAAGACTGTGTAGGACAAGAAGTGACCGGCAGTGAGGCCGACGGTCTGCGCAGTGGAGGCATAAGACACATTGCCGGGCGTCAGGAGAGTCAAAGCCCAGCCGTCTACGGCGATATCTTGAGTGGCGCACATAAAGACAAGGAAGAACCACCAGCCGGTGAAGTTCCACACGGTAGGACCTCCGGGCTTGCCGGTGTTGGCCATCATGTTCTCGACTGTAGACCCAAGCCAGAGCATACCCAGTCCTGAAAGCAGCTGGATGGGGAGAATCCAGCTCTTTCTGCGTCCGACCTTGGGGCTCCAGACCGCATCAACGATGGGACTCCAGAGAAGCTTCAGCGAGTATGGGTATGAAGCTAAACTAAAGATTCCAATCTCGCTGTATGACATGTGGTCCTTCATTAGGAAGGGCACCGAACCACCAGCGAGACCCATGGGCACACCCTGCAGGAAGTACAGGAGCACCAGCAAGAGGAAGTTCCTCTGGTCCTGCAACGGCAACTCGAAGAAGCCATGGTTATTGGCGATGGGAGTCTTCGGAACGGGGTCGTCGAGGGTGAAGGATTCGCGCGACATGAGGTTCGCAGTTACGGTGTCGGAGCCGGGAGTCGTCGCCTTCCGCCGGAACTCAACGTTGTTCTGGTTCATCGCGCCGTTGGCGTGACCGTTCGTGCCGTCTGTGTCTACAGCTAGATCGGCCAAAGCTTTTCGCTTGACGGACTTGTTTCGGCGTGTTCGGACGCTCATTTGTGCTTGGCTTGTAGTTGAGGGATGTCTCGGTTGGAGCTTGCGGCGCAATGCTAGTATGCAAAGGTTTTCGAGGCCTCGGTTGAGAGCGGTTGTATCGAAACGTGGGAGGTTGTTTGGAAGAAAGAAAAAAAGACTTTATGCGACAAGTCGGGAGTCGTGAGCAAAGGAAAAGGTTCTTTGTCTGTCCAGCGAGGACCACTTAAGGTAGACAGGGTCGAGGGTGGGGTGGAGCAGAGTCCGTGGCAGTCAAGGCGACGCGCTGTCTTAAACAATAGCTTAGACCAATGACAGTTGGTTAAGCGCTAGGCACCCAAGCGACCGAGAGCTTGTTTTTGAGCGCGCGGGTTTGGTTGGTAGAAGAAAGGGTGGAAAAGGACGATGTTCCGGGAAGAGTGGAATCGCAACCGTGGCCTTTGACACTTTTTGAGAACCACGCCAGTGGCAAAGAGGGAATGAACAGTGGTCGAGTTGGTCGTTACGCGGGTCTGGAAAATGATGGAAAGGATAGATAAGAATGAGATATGACAAGAAAAAGAACTCAAGTCCCAAGTGGACCGAGAAGTAGTGAATTTGACAGAAGCAGATCAAGACCACAAGAAAAGGTGTTTCTGTTGCGACGATACCTCGGGGGTGAAGCGAAGTTGGGGGAGAAGATTCAAAGAAGCTTATCCAGGTTCAGACGCGCTCCACTCGAGTGGGAAAGCCACCCGCCGCCCGGCGAGCTCCCTTGGGACCCCTGGCTCCATGCCTCATTTGGCGCCCTCCATTGCTGATAAGATAACAGCTTAGATAAGCTTCCCCGCGGGTCGCATTCCGCGCTGTCGGTACGGAGTACAGAGAACGGAGTAGGTACCTTGCATACCTTGCGTACTTTGCGCGCATCTTTGTTGACTGGGTTCAAGTGTCTTGCACTGCGCTGCTTGGCAACCATACCACTGTCAACTTCACCAAGACGCGTCAACCGCGTCGAAGATCCCCATCACGTCGTCGACGACTACGACAATTGCGCTCTCCCCGCCAAAGAAACAATACTTCCCTCTCTTTTTCACATCCGCGACAGGAAAAATGTCTGGTGAACTCCCAGATGCTGTCGCAGAGGCTCTGGAACAGGAGATCAAGGACCTTCGAGCTAAAGGTAGTCATTCCCCGAGACTGTTGTTGCCCAGCTACTAACTCGCGATGCGCCCAGCCGCCTCGTTGAAGAAGGAATTGAAGATCCAGGCCACATCCCTCATCTCATCCGATTCGGTACGGAACGCCCTCAAAGAAGACAATGAGAAACGCAGCGCGATTACACTCCCCTCAGAATCCAAGGTCGTCCGCAACCAAGTCCTCTCCCGATCCAAAGCCCAAGACGCGCATGACCAGCAATGTCTGTACAGAACCTGCGCAACCATAACGACGTTCAAGGTTAAAGACCCCGACCCCAGTGCTGTCGATCGAGGCAGCGTCCTTGGCATTCGCATCGAAATCATGTCCGACGCCAAGTTTCGACGACCATACTATGTCATGCTCAATCGACCGTACAAAGAATCGCGACATCTGCGAGTTCACCGTCATACGGTGCCTCCATGCATTCCGCTTGCTGCACTGGCCGCTCGTCATCTCCCTGCACCCAAGCCTGCCGACGCCGAAGATCAGAAGTTCCAGGATCTATCTCGCTTCGTACGAACGCTGAGGAGGGAAATTGTGAGATACCATAATCGCACTGCCGTGATTCGCGATCTGCAAAGGGCGGCTGGGCTGGTCGGCTCCGGCAGCGGGGGAGACGACTCAGAGCAGGCAGTCACAAGCATTGTTGCTGCCGACATCGAGGCCAAGCAGATCAGCATTGAATGGGCCGATGGCAGAGCGGGCAGATTGGTCATGAGCGAAGACGGGCAGATTCAAAAGCTCGTCATTCTTGGCATGACGGGACGTGATCGAGAGACCACAAGAGATCTGCTGGGTGACAGCCGTCGCGTGGAAGATGTCGCAAAGCGGCTGGCAGCATCTTGAGGAACTGAACCAGACACGACAAAGATGCTGACGTGGAAACGGACGCATGGATCAAAGACTTGTCGTCTGGCGACGATATGCAACAATGTCGAAACAGGCTCGTTCAGGAACTATATCCACGGCCTTCAACGAAGACCCTGCGGGATGGATCTCAGCTGAAGGCACCCGGGCCAGAAAAAGTCCGCGCAAATGAGAGCCTGTACTGTCAGCCGTCAGCACCGGAATACCACTTGTATCCGCTCGACTCATGCGCGGCCCTCCGAGCCATCCGCAACCTGGCCTGAACGCAAATACAAGCATATTGCGTTCAATCTGTGAGGTTATGCAGCCACAGATTCGCTCCGCAACTCAATCGACAATGCATCAAGAGTGACTTTTCACTGCGAGTCAATGGTAGAAGCAGTAGAGGGGGTCATGTCAAGAACAGATCGACTCAAGGTACCCCGCGAACTGAAGATCTGCCGTTGATCCGCAGCACCCGAACAGAGCCATGCGACAAAATTACGGCAGCCAGAGCAACGCGTCTTGGATGAGCACAAGGCTTCTGTATCTGCGACGGATACTCGCTGTCGTCATGATAGCCTGAGGTATTGAGCTTGGTTGCGAGAAATCGATTCCAAGATTCTGTCACTGGTTGCACCTAGTAGGAGTAGAGATCATGGAACAAGTATTTTCAAACAAAAGTACGCAACCCATTATATTAGCCTTAACTAATTAAGTTGGGTTTCTCAGACGCCAGAGTCAATATCCTCCTTCGCCCAAAGTTGCGAAGCCCGAGGAGCCAACCCCATCCTGTCCGAGTGAAACCCCCCCCCCCCCCCCCCCCCCCAAATTTCCGTTCGTTGATTTCCCAGTCATTAACCCCTATTTTGTCCCATTGTACCCAAAATTCCCATGGTATATCACCCTCTATGCCTGAAAACACAACCAAATTGCAAACATACTGTCTTTCTCTCTAGTAACATGATGAAAAGCAAGAAAGCAAGAGTGCTTCATTCAGATGAAGGCAGCAGCGGCAGCCACCACAGCGACCACGACACCACCAGCGCGCTGAACATTCTGCACGGCGCCGGCAGTGACGACGGCGCGGCTTGTGGTCGCGGTCGGGTTGGGTCTGGTGACCGTGCCGACTGAATCGGGCTTGGTCGTTGTGGCGGCGGGGGGAGCGGAGGAGACGGGAGGGACGGGAACCTCGGGGGGGCTTGATGAGACGGGCGGGATGACGACGGAGGAGAGGGTCTCGGGAGGGGAAGGGTTGCTGGGCGCGGGCTGTTCTGCGGGCGCGGTGGTGGCCGGGGGAGCGACGGGTACTGCAGGTGCGGTGGTCGGGCCTGGGTTGGGCTCGACGGGGACGGGGCAGATTGTCACGACGGCGGGGACGGTGACGGTCTCGTACATTGTGCCGCCGCCGTTGCCGGGGCAGTTGGGGACGCTGGGCGGGCAGCTGTAGATTGTGGAGACGGCGGTCTGGGTGATTGTGGAGGTGGTCCACTTCCATGACTGCGGCGTGGTGGTGGGCTCGGGCTGCTCCGGCTGGTCGGGCTGGTCGGGGGTTTCTGTGGGTTCCGGGGCCGAGGGGGCGGTCTCGGTCTCGGTGGGCTGCTCGCACTTGTCGCAGCCGGGCTTCTTTGTGTGCTTGGGCTTCTTCCACTTGTGGCCGCCCTTGTCTTTGTCGCCGCCGCCCCATTTGGGCTTGCCTGGGTGGATCCAGTGCCAGCCGTGCTCCTTGTCGCTGTCGCAGTCGTCAATGTAGACGTCTGGGTGGGGAGGGTGCCAGACGGAGATGCAGTCTGAGGGGGGACCTGTGAGGGGGCCAAAGGTCTTGATGTTGAAGTCTACGTTGCCGTTGGCGAGGCCGAGGGGCTCGATGCCTGGTGGGTAGCTGAATTGGCCGTCCCATGTTGCGCGGGTGACGGCTGCGAGGCCGAGGAGTGTGAGAGTTGAGCAGCGCATTGTATTGTGTGTGTGTGTTAGGGATACGGTTTACTCTGGATAGAAGAAAGAGTGAATGTTTACTATCAAGTAAGGGGGGAGTGTATAGAGTGGGAGAGTAAACGAGACGAGGGGCGGTATTGGAGGTATTAGCGAAAGTAATTGGTATCAGAGATACTGAAGAGAAGAAGAGGGAAAGGGAAAGATGAGAAACAGGGCGAAGAGCTCTTCCTTTTCTAGCCTTCTTCTCTCCATCGCGGGAATCTCATACAGGGGGTTTAAGTGACGATGGCGCAGACATCGGGGGAGGGAGTGGCCAGGGGCAAAGCCGCTAAGCCCAACATCGCGAATAGACTCACGGGTGTACCTTGGGTAGGTCGCCAATGGGACAAGCTAATTTGATTAGACGTCATGTCATTTTTTTTTCCGCCATACATAGTAGTATCCGTACCTTGGAGAGAAAGGCCTCCTTTGGACGCCCCATCTAAAGGGGCTGAAAAAGAAGCATCGCCCCGCAGGCCTCCATCGCATGTCGAAGATCTCCGTGATTGGTTAGCCCGTCTCTTGATGAAGATCCAGGGGGGGGGGGGAGAAAAACGATCACAAGGACGGGATCCCAAGCTTCGGATGGGCGTTTGCTAAAATTACGTTGCGATCAAGAATGGGACGACAGGTACGGATACGGGCAGAGGGGCTTGGAAGGGCCTTATTTTTCCCAGCTTTCCACCTCCCCATTCGGAAAAGAACAGAGACAAGGAGTGGTTAAAGAGCAGCGGCCGGCCAAAGATAGAGAGAGATACATAGAGATAGACGCAGCTGCTCCTCTACATGACCCTTTGATACAGGGACGAAGCATACTTCGGCAGATAGAATCACCCAAAATCCCTATATAGAGCAAAAGCCTTTTTCAGTCTTCTTCACCAAAGATATACCTCCAAGGAAACTCGGGAGAGGCTTAAGGAGGAGGAGCCTGGGGGGAGGGGGGGGAAGACGATGTCACCTAGTCCGACAACCAGGGGTAATGCCGCTCTACGCTAATCGTACATCCCTGCAGAAATCGTCTCGAATGGTGTTGAGCTTAAAGAGACCTTTGGACTCGGACTCAACTCGAGATGGGCTGACCCCTCCAATTATGAGGCAGCACAGCCCATCATCCGAACTTTCGAAACACCATCACCCTTGGTGATCCCATGAACTTGGCCAATTTCCAAGGGGGGTCAAAGCATGCAAAGGCAATTGAATGTGCAGAGTAGGTGTGACAGCCACTTTCTCTCCTTCGCGAACTCCGAGAAGAAGCGGAAAAAAGTGTGGGAATTTATTGCATAGTGGTCGCTGGTATGGTGTGGTTGTTGTGGGTTGACGTCAGTGAGGGTTTGCTGGTGGCCTCCCCTCCGCCTCCGAAGCTCTCAAGCCTTGCCCACCTGCGTGTATCTATTGGTGGCAGTGGAATCGACCATAGCTTCGGCGCTTAAGACGGATCTTCTAATGGTCCTCAGCCTCATGGCTGTCGGGTGGTGTACATATGGCCCATCTTCACGGTGTGGGAATCTTTCATGCAGGTTTATCTCCTTTATGCAGAGAGTAAGGTAGGTAGTATCGAGATTCATCCAGTTTCTGGATATGTGAGACCATGTCCAACAATTGTCCTCAATGACATTTGGTCATGAAAAAGCATTACAACCCGGCAACGTCCTCCCTTGTCGGTGTCGAGTTTGACAGGTGGTCATGACCGCATTCCGTCTAAACATTGTTGCTTGGCTGCCTCCCCTTCCCGTCCACGTCCTGTCAAAAATAGGAAACCGGCACAAAAGAGTCATGAGCAACGGCTAGCTTGGATGGTTCGCCTCGTCATGAACTGTAAACGAGCCACAGGAAGGCTTGAGGGTGTCGTCAAAATTTTGCGGCTCATATCCAGCTCCGGCTGGTATGTCATATACTCGCCACATGTTGGCAAGACAAGGAGGGGAAGGTCTTGCGAAATGGGGTTCTTGGTCAAAGTCCGATTTTAACTCTACTCTAGCGAGTAGAGAAGTCGGGGGGTTCCCGTTCCTTCGTCGTCCGCGGGAAACCCAAATAGCCAAAGTAATATCAGCTTGTAATATCAATGCAATTTGATCGGATCAGCTGTGTGGTTCAGTTTAGTCAAGTCCCCTCCCCACCTGGCATAGCACATTGACTAGCAACTTACTGGAAACTGGTGATGGCTCTTGCGCATTCCACATTTATAGGGCCCGGGCAGTACTGTAAGTGAAATGTCTCTCTTTGCCTCTCTCAGCGAGAGCGCCAGCTCGGCCCGAAGCCTCGCTTGCATGAGGACCTGGTGAAAATTCAATTGCCGCGAGCAGCGCGATGGCGGTGCTTCCTTGTGTGCCACACACAGCGGCAACCGCTGGCAGAAAGCAAACCTCACCAGTCGAGAGGTTTCTTGGTCTGCGGCACCGCGGAGCTCGGCGCCCGCTCCGGGCTCGGCTGCCTCTCGTGCTCCTGCGCATCGCCAATGGCCTCGAGGACGATGCTCCATTGCTCAATCTCGGCGTCGGCCACCTTTTGCCATTTGCGAATGAGGGGGTGGGCACGAGCCACGTCGGCGAAGAGGATCTCGTCACCACCATTGGTGCCCTCAACGTCAAACTTCCAGGTCCCGTCGGTGTTCCAGTACGCGGGTCCAAAGACGGAGTCAAGCTTCAGCTCCGCTTTGGCGTCGTCCAGCGTCTTGCGGGCCTTTTTTGCGGCTGAATCCTCGCCGTGGCCGTCCAGTGCGGCGGCGATGCCCTCGAGAAGGCCGACAATCTGGCCCGCGACGGAACCGACCTCGGCGCCGAGGCTGAAGCCCTCGTCGAAGCCCGCCTGGATGCTGTGGGCTTTGGCGGCGGATATGCCCTCGCGGTAGCCGGCGTTGGTGTGCTCGGCCTGCAGGCGCGGCATGTCGCCCGGGTGCGTTCCCATGGGCGCGCTCACGTCTCGGGCAAAGTTGTGGCTGTCGGTTGGCGAGCCTGGCTCCGAGCCCCAGACGTCGTCAAAGGTCTCTTGCGCCTCTGCCTCTGGCAGGATAGTGATGCGCGGGTCGTCCATGGCGCTGGTGAATGGCTCGATTTCAGTGTTGTCGATGGGTTGAAGATGCATGATAGAGGTGATATAAGAGAGGGCTCCAGAAATCCTCTACCGTCGTACTCTTTGGGGTTTAGGTATGCTGAGGTGACGGAGATATCTCGATAGGGTGATGTGATGTTGAGATTGGATGACAAAGTATGAAAATTTGGGAGTTGATTTACAACCAGATCCCCCGCACGTTACAACTCTTCGCACTGTTAGATGCGCGCCCAACTTGTTGGCTTCCATACAGTGATCGGCAGTATTAGTACAGTACGCCACTAAGGCCACTCAATCGCCCTGAGGTGGTCCACAACACCTTCACTTCACATCGTTCCCGCTTACCACTGTTCAAGTTCCATCAATCATCGTGATTTATTGAATTTAACGGATATTCTTAGCGGACGAGCGATATTACATTTGGAGACCAGCCGGCTGTGTGTATTTTGACGGCATCTTGACCTGGCTCCGAACCAAGTGCCTTGAGCAGGATTGATCTCGGCCGGCAGCCAATTATAGCAACAATCACAATATGAGAGAAACTCCAGTGGGGAGTGAGAAACATTCACTCCCTTCCCGCTTCTTCGCTTTCTCGCAGAATTGCAGCGCCGAGACCGATATACCGTGGTCGTCTGACGCCTTGAATGCCAAGTTCCTGTACCCCAGATTACCTCTCAGGGATATGAGATCCGTCTATTTCTAGACCAGCAGCATCGTCATGGGCCCTAGAAGAGGTTACCAGGATGGCGAGGTTCCCCGGATCGACGTAATTTCCAATCAAAATGAGACTATCAGGCAAGTATATTTGGATATATTTTGTTCGCTCATAAACAAATGTAATCTAGCACATGGTATTCCCTTTCGTTGTCAAAATTTCCTTTATGCCGTATCCAAAACAACAACCTCAGCCTCGGCCTCACCGATGCTCTCAACCTTCAACTTATCCCCAGCGTTGACCGCGTCGACAAATGCACCGTCACCCTCAGACAAGACGGCATCCTCGCGGCCATCAATCATAATCTTGGCCTTGCCGCTCTTCGTCATGGGCAGGTGCACAAACACCTTGCGCTTCGTCTGCTCCGTCGCCTTGCCGCCGACAACCCACTCAAACCCACCACCGGCCCCGGGCGCGATGATGCCCGCGCCCATGACGAAATCGGCGTGAATGGGAATCGTATTCGGGATCCTCGGCTCCGCAGCCTTCTCCTCCGCCGCCGACGCTTCGGGCCCGGCCTTGAGCGGCGACAAGATAGTCACAAAACCCTTGCGCTTATCCTCATCGGCGAAATGGCGCGTGTGGTACGTGGGCGGCAGGCCCCGCTTCCACGGGACGGCCCAAATCTGGAGAAAATGCACCGTGTCCTTGTTGTGCTCGTTGAACTCGGAGTGCGCGATGCCCGTGCCGCCTGTGGTGAACTGGACGTCGCCGCGGTGCATGCGGTAAAACTTGTCGCTCTGCCCGCCCTCGGCGCCCTTTTGCAGCATCGAGTCGCGGTGCGTGAGCTCGCCCGAGAGGATGTAGCTAAAGATTTCAAAGTCGCGGTGCGGGTGGGTGGGGAAGCCCGAGTTGGCCTTCACGCGGTCCTCGTTGAGGACGCGCAGGCTGCCAAAGTTGTTGAAGCGCGGGTCGTACCAGTTTGCAAAGGAGAAGCTGTGGTAGGTGTTGAGCCAGCCGTGGTCTGAGTGGCCGCGGGTGCCGCTGCGGTGCGGCGTGATCTTTGCGTGGTGGAGAGTCTTTGACATGTTGTTTTTGACGGCGTTGAGCATGGAAGAGTCAGGTGAGTCTGGGGTTGATGGCGAATACAGGTTTGTACTGTTTGTTGTGTTTGTGGTGAGTTGAGAGGTGATGTCTGTGAAGAAGCTCTTGAGCTGCGTGTTGAAGATGATGATGGAAATGAAGACAGCGAAAATCGCAGAAAGGGTCACGATGCGAGGCATATATACTCGGATGCTCGAGTGTCCCTCACGAAGAAAGATGGATAGAGCTAGTATGGTCGAGAATCAGGGATCGATCTGGTTTGAGGATTGTTGTTCAGCATTTGCAAATCTCGCGGGCAAGCTTATATGTGCCATGGCGTCCATCTGGATCTGGACGATCTACAGCGAGGGTCTTACACATGCCCCTGGTGAAGCTGTCTAAGCGGGTACCTAAGGGGGGCGCCACCGCGTGCGATGACTGGATGATTTTTCTAGCAAATGCGCTGCTTAGGATTGGATTATTCATGCTGACAGCTTCGAGAAGAACGTGGGCCCCGCAGCTGCAGACGGGAATGGGTCCGCCGGTACGGATGGAGTACCTGACAGGGGGGGCCTCTGTGACGCAAGAGGGCCATAGGCTAGCCCGAAAATCGGGGGATCATCGGCTGCGGAACGGAAGCCAACTTCAACTTCCCTTCCCCAGACCACGATCAAGGTCACTTCATATCGAAACTCAATATTGCAGGTGCGAAGTGAAAGTTTTATGTGAATTGTTGGTCTTGCGAATCGATACAGGCGACCGTAGAGGCCCGGCATCAGGTGCTCAGGTCATTGCTCCTTGGATTTGCTCAAGATGAAATCATCTTCAAGAATAAGTAGATGTTCCGTTGTGCTAGACTCGGGTAATTCGCTATCTACCAGATACCTCATGGTCCATACAAGTTCCCGCGTCAGGCCTTTCACTTTCAAAATTCCTTGTCGAAGCTGTATAGCAATTACCAAAGCCTCGATACTCAGACGCGGTGGAGATGGCAATTGTGAATTATCAAAAGGGGGGGGGAAACCTCAGGTGCCCAGTCCGGAATTCGAACTGAACCCTGACGAAATCCTCCATCCGTTGACTTCTTGGGATTTTATACCAAGTTCTGCACTAATGGACCAGGGCGTTATAACGCTCGACTATGGAGATCGATTGGGCCTGGTTGATGAATGAGGCCATGGACCTGAAGATAAACCCCAGAATGAGGCAACCGCGGTCGATGTATGGCCTGATTCCTTCCCATACACTGCTCCTAGTATCTGCCCAAAGGTGAACCGTAAGGAAATCGGTATTTTGACTATTTTGACTGCGCTGTCTAGCTACCTAGCTGTATTGTTTGTGAAATACTGTTAGCCAGGCCTACTACTACCACCATCACTACTACTTTCATCTCACGACACCGCGAATGGACTTCTGCTACTACCGGTAGGGATGAAGCAGGTATATCGAGAGTGAATATGGCTATGCAATTATAGTTATCTCAATACGAATGTATACTTGCGACCGTGAGCTGCGACTATGGTTGATTCGTCAATTAGTGCAATTTAATTTGTTAGATATGACCTACCAGGCAACTAAAGGCCATAAGTCTGACTAGTAGTGGCACACAGGTAAGATATCCAGACAGCAGAGTCAAAATAGTGCCTTCGCCGTAAGTCCTAGTGTTCGAAACTATCTGCACACCTGAAAATGGGCCTCTCGATATCGCAGTAGCATCAGTGGTGTGAAGTTGCATCAAGGGAACGTGAGAATGGAAAGGCCGTAGCAGTGCTCGTCGTAGCAGAAGCTAGGAGACCATACTTTGGTTCGTATGAGTAGCTAATCCAAGGATGTCAATTGCATGACTGGGACAACGTCGCAAGAGAAACGAAGCGGAGGAGGGGCAGTGATAGTGGGCGCTTATTCAGGCCAGGCAGCGAAAAGTCTCTCCCTAAGCCTCAAAATTTCTTAGTTAAGTAGGTCCTCGCAGCAAGAGCGATGTAAGGTAGTGGCCGCCAAATGTCGTTGCCGGGGAGATGGCCATCAACAATCACCAACTGAGGCTGGCGCAGCCACACACACGACTGCGCACCTTCCGCCCTCACCTTCCCATCCCATGAATCACAACAACCCGGGCGTCCTCTCCATGTAAGCCACCGTGAGCCACAATGAGACGGGACACCCGATATCCTACTTGGGGAACAATTTTGTTCATACCGTCACCAGCAGACAGAAGGCGTCCCATCCGGCGCGATGTGGTCAGGACAAACTGTGTCTGGGGTCGCCATGGTCGCAAACGATGAACCACCGGGGTTCGAATCCCGCAAGCACATACGTATACGTACACGAATCGACGACAACCTACCTCACCTGGACCCCCTATTGGATTACGGCAGATTTTCCCGGCATGTGCACCAAGAGATGTAGCCCCCGTTCGACACCGGGGGGGTGAACTCTTTTGTCATTTGGGTTGAAGTTTCATTTTTGTATTCTTTTGCCTTTTTGGGTATAGATGAGTTCAGTTTGCGTGTTGGAAGGAGACTGAACTCCCCTTCCACTATGTTCTCCTCTTGATGTGCCTTCATGTCCACTACCCAAGTACATTCGCATGGTTTTGACAGCAAGCGTACTCTTTGGAGATGTCTAGCTATTCTCGTAGGTGCTTTTTTTAACCTCTATCGAAATGGAAATTCTTCTCGATGTCGTGGATGATCACTTCATCGTGAACAAGGCTACTTTCGCGCCCGCCCAATTGCGATCGACCGCCTTAATAACAACAAGACCGGCGAGGGATTATGTTGCGCAGCTTCCGTCACGCCGAAAAAGAGGTAGTCGATGCTTCTACTTTCATCAAAATAGCACATTTTTGGAAAGCTAGTTGCCCTCATCCCCCCTTACCTACCACATACATCCATGGGTACGGTTTCGCTGAATATGAGAGCTGAGATCCTCTGCTTGAGGTACTCACGCGGCCGACTCGAGAAGAAGGAGGTGTCAACTTTATATAACCCATGCTTCCTCAGTCTCCCTACACCCAAACGTTGTGTGTAGAGAGAGCATGATTCGTGACATTGACGGTCGTCCACATCGAGCGGACGTCATCGTGACGGGAACTTTCACCTCACTTGTTAAGGATTTCCTAGGGGCTTGACCTAGTAAGGACGAAGCCTGTGAGTAGATACAAAGAACATACATACTTATCAACAATAAGGTCGACTGAAGACCTTAGATATAATAGGCCTTGCCACACAGCTGAAAAGGGATTAGGGAGGAGGAGCGGCGGTCCTTGGCATCAGGAGAGGAGTGGTAAACTATTAAGAAGATTGATTGAAAGCCCTATATTCATAGAGTCTCACCAATTGCTACGAACAATTCTGATCCAGCTAGAGACCTCTCGGATCGTCACTAGCTGAGTCTTTCCAATGTCCTGGCATCAGTCGACGCCTATAACGCTGAATGATATTGTAAGATTATTGGCCGTGTCGTGTTAAGAACAGTCGGTATGGGTCTGAATCCTAGACTTATATCCGGGTTAAACATCATAGGGAAAAACACAGTTGCTCACGCGGGGGACGAGACCAAGCCATCCAGAGTATATCACAGCAGAAATCTGCAAGGTCTTTGGAGTGGAAGAGGGTATCCTCCAAGTGTTGAAGGTTTTTAAAAAGTTAGTATGCATGGTAGTGACTTTGCGGCAAGAACTGAGTAAGGCGAAAGCATCTCGTCTCAAGCGGGGTCTGCAGTCGCTGAACGTGGATGTGGTCCCAGGAGGGATAACCTTCAAACTAAGTCGTAGGCCCCATTCGCTCTTCCAAGACCTGAAGCAGTAGACAGCTTTGGACAAGTTCCATCGCCTGGGCCCACTGTGATATCGAGGGATTGAACTATTGGGCTCGTTGAGGCTCTTGACCAGTGGATTCTAGGCGTCAACCCAGGGTGGGTAGCGCCAAGATTGATGAATCGTTTTTTGCACGTTGTGATACATGATGATCATACGAGGAGGAGATGGTATTCTAAATGAGAGCTACATAGTCGCCAGCAGATCAAAAGTAAAGACTCGAGATCATGCCGTGCCCTCATTTTTCGGGGCCCAGCTACGCTACCCAGGTTGCAGGTCCTTCAGTGACCTTTTGTGAGTACCACAGCGGTGATACTCCTCTTCACACATGGACGCACATGCATAGCTTTCAGAGTATGATGGGTACTCGTAAGCGTGTGGTTCTTTGGCTATGGGCGCGTTTCGAGTGTAAATCGTGATAAGAAGCATGGCTCTTCGGTGGTTAGAAGTCCACTTGGTGCAAGGAACATCCAGCAGAAAGGGCTCTTGCTCTCTTGATGCGAGGCTCACTAGAGCCTCAAGGGGTTCTTCTAATTTACCTGGTACCGAAGAATAAGTATTCTATTTCAGAACGTCTCTTTCTGAGAATGAGGTGTGTGAATGCGCCGGGCCTATAGTGCTTCGAGAGAGGATACTTTAGTTCGGAAGCTCTCGGGAACAGTCTAATCACTGTCTACTACAATTCAGGGCATCCTTTAAATCAAGCAAGACAGCTTCAATTCCCTGAACGTTTCAAGATCACGAAGAGATAGTTGAAAGGAGTCAGATTTCTGAGCCCCATTACATTATTATCGTAGCAGAACTCAGCTCAAGTCCATGCGTGAATGGCGTACACCTACCGCGATACTAGCTCAGCCTGACCTATAGAATTGGCACTTAAAATGATGAAACGGCGCGTATAGGCTAATTTAGTGTATTTTGTTCCTATTCAAGCCTTTTAACCCCTCGGAAAAGGCGTTCTACTTCATGTCGACGACAGAAAGGCCCTTTGGATCATACGTGGCAAGATTCTGGGCCCAGGGCAGCATAAAATGCTATAGTTCTCAATAGGGAGGAATGCAGAGTGAGCCAAAGTATCACAAGACCTCAGAAAAGCAACTACAGTACCTAAGGTCACAGGACTGGTTGTCTTAAGACAATATGCTGCTGTTTTGGGAGTCAACGTCGATGACACGTCAGATGCCCTGTATCAGAGTTTGTACACGTCCGAGTCTGGATGCCACTTGTTGACAACCCCAAGTGTAACTGTCATACTTTCTTGTCAACACGTAGTTTCTTTTCATATAAACACTGTAGGAAGTCATTAAATGGATCCTAGTCTTTGACGCGGCAGCGCAGCTTCATAGCAAGTACATAATTTTACTGCAAGTGCAAGGTGAAGTGAATCAGACACAAGTTTTCAAACAGACCGAAGTGGACAATCTATTTGCTCAACAAGAACTCAATTGTGATTTTGAACAAAGCCACAATCATGATATATGAGAAGCGGTTATCTGTCTGAGTGTCAGAGGGAGCGAGGTCACAAGTATCTAACACGATATCGTCAGCAAGAACATCCGAAAGTGGAAGGATGGAACGTGTATAATACGCCATGGCAGTAACCCGTGCAGCGAAGTAGGAAGTCCGGGCACCGTCTTTGAGTTCTTACTATATCATTGCAAGAAGCCGAAGGTCCGTAGGGAACGTACAAACGTGCTTGAGCGTGTAAGTCTATCGATCAGCACGACGATGACTAGGAGCTGTGGTCAAAGCTATCTGTTGATGTCTAACAAGCCAATATGGCCAATGGAGACGACCCGGAATTTTTCTATTTTGTTAGACCTCTCTACCCAAGTTATTCCCATTCATAGTCTATTTCCACAAAAGGGTACCTCCTCACCCTCCCCGTCGTCTTCCACACATCACCACCAAAAACCAATTCAAGCCAGCGGGCTCCGTAAACTCTCAATTTCCGTTACCGTTACCATCACCGTTTTTCCATGGAGTCAAGTACGAAGTCGAAGCCCGGTCCAGACCAGTCCTATACCCGCCATACCCGCCCGGCCCGTCTAGCCTAAGCGTAGATGTCTAGCAGAAGACAGCAGAGAGTCAAAGAAGAGGATCCCTTCTTACCCCGCCTGACAAGAGTGACAGTCAGACAGTGACAGTGTGACACAGCCCCGAGCAACGAGAAAGAGAAAAACCTAATCCCAACCACCCGATGAACCGGTGAGGGACTATAGGGCCGCAGCAAACCCCCAAAAACAAGCTCAAAGAACCCCATAAGAAAGACCACCCTGCCATTGAAGGGCAAAAACGAGGGGGAAGGGGGCGGGGGGGGGCAAGAGGTAAGGCAGATCGTCCTGGCGCCTCTGGAAGTCCCGAAGGAGGGGCTCCCTTCCCTCCATCATCGTCCTCGTAGGGCCCTTGGAGGGGTGTATGCCACTGTCACTGTCACTTCGCTCACCGCTGTCGCGGGAGCAACTACACCATAGCATCAGATCATCAAATCATCAGGAATGGCGAGGATGTAGATCCCAAGTACAGTGACAAGAGATTCTCCAAGATGCGGATATGGAGAAGGGGGAAAAGGGGGCAGAACGTTGAGCACACGATTGTGGTTGGCACTTACCGAAACCGAGAACGGGCACGGCCGCCGCAGTCGTTGTTCCAGTCAGCCATCTGGTATCATACCACCGCACTTCGGTCAGACAGAAAAGCCTGTTCAGCTCAAGACACGCTAGAACTCACCCAAAGAGCTGGTTGAAGCCTCGCAACAGCATCCAGCCTAATCCTCAAAAGGGGTTCAAAGCCGTGAGACCAAGAAAGTGAGCGATAAAGCGCCTACCCTAACCCCCCCAGTCTCACCCAAAAAACTCAGGGTCTCTCTCTCCGGTGTGATGGGGGTAGTGGTGTGTGAGGAAACACACAAGATGGTCCCCGTAAGGGTGTGTGGGGGAACGAGTGGGCGGTGTAATCCAACACACACTCACCTTGCCCATCACCGAAAAAGAAAGCTCACCACCATGCAAAGAAGTCGCCATCCCGCGCCCCTGGCCCAGGAGACTGGTTCCATACCCTCGGTTTCCCTCTGGCGATTTCCAGACCCAAAAGAGGTAATGACTCGGCATAACGGCATCTATTACGCAGGCGACGGGAAGAGGGAGGGGGATACCCAAGAATTGCCCCGTGCTTTGTGGGTTCTTGACTTCACGTCCTCCGAGAAGGGGAGCCCGTTGATCAACGGGCGTAGCCGCCGGAGCGGGATTCCAAAGGGGGGAAGAGGAAGAGAGAGGAACCCGTCAATCATCCCAACTTTTTCTCCCCCTTCGTTATCAAGCTTTCCGTTCGTTCCCAGACCCCGAAGTGCCAAGGTAGACAAAGACCGTAAGGTACGACGAACTCGATCACATCAGAAGACTGTAGCCCTTACGGGCTTTGCAGGGAGCCCCGTGAGTGACTATTGGGGTGGGAAAGTCCGTAACAGTCATCCACATCGGCGACGGTGAGATGACAAATCCGCGTTTTCGCCGGATTGCACCGGCGCCGATTAGTCGTCCATCGCTCGGACGAATGTTGTAGTTCACGTTGTGCTTACCATGCAAGAATGAACCACCACTCGGCGGCTTTTCCATGAGGTTCGGAATAACTTCACAGGCTCCACGCCGCGCGAGACGCCCGCCAAACTTCCGCCCAGCGCCAATGTAGTCGAAGCAAAAATCTCTACGCCTTGGACCTTCCCGCGCGCCCCCTCTACCCTCTTTGCCTTGTTACCTTGATGAATTGAATGCTTTTTTGGCTTCGGATACACGCCCGAAACCGAAGCTCCGCGCCCATCGCGGATGGGAAAAGCGGAGTAAAAGCCAAACCCTACTGTCCGGACCCCGGACCCCGGCCAAGCCCGCGGGCCGGGGATAGGACAAGATGAAGGCCGTGAAACCATGTAAGCGGCGAAGAACCCCTCCCTACCGTGGTCCATGTAAATAAACCACATCCAAACCCAAACGAACGCTTGTCAAACAGCCTCGCGCTTGGTGCCAGCATCTATCCCTGTGGACGACGTCGCATCCCCAATCGCTGCCGCTTAACCTTATTTCTTCCACCCCATCACCCCTTTTTGACGCGTCCCGTACCATGGAGACGGCGGTGCGCCGGCCATTTCGTTGTGACCGGGGTGGCCAATCTTTCGCACTTCTGTTTTGCCGTGCCAAGAAAGGATGAACCGCGACTCGCGCGCGCCCAATCCCAAACATCGTGAATAGACTTTTTTTTTCAAAGCCTACTGGACTCCTTTTTGAGTCCCAGTCACCGCTTTCGCCCACTTTCCTTCACGGAAGCAGGTCCGGTCTTCGATCTTCGATGTCAGATAGGCGGGCTGTATCCGTAGCCCCCAACTTCGTCTGAAATTTGACTTTCCTCTCTCTGCAAGGGTGAGATTATCGACAGATTAAAAGGCCTATATGCGAGTCAATAAGCTTTCTCAGAGGTTGGCATAGGGTTAGACCAATAATTAGCCCACATCTTCTCCAGATCAAACGACATTCCCCGTTGGTAGAGGAGCATACTTGCCTCCAAAACATCGTGGCTAGGCCTGGACCTCCCCACTGTGATCAATCTCCAACCTGCTGACACGCACGACAAGAAGCGGGCGTTGGTGAGCGGTGTCGTTTGTGCAGCCTAGGGATGCCAAATAGCCTATGAGTCTGTGGTTGAAGGAACGATGCCGCCATCAAGCTGATGCTCTTATCAAACTCGTGGTCCTATGTTCAGGGGGCTTCTCTGCTGCTGACGTGGGATTGAGCGAGCCCCAATCTCTGTTTGGTTCACTCCTATGGTCAAGATGGAGAGTTTTATCACCGGTGACTGGACGACAGTACAGACACCATAGGTTGAGTAATCGCGTAATCCGTCCGGCGGGTAATCTCTGTACAGCTGTCAGTGAGACTTGGGCAGACGATCTGCATTAGCCTCATTTCACTGCTTGCTGCTGGTAAGCTGACAGGCTTCGCGATGCAAAGGTCGCACACACTCTCTGTCTATCAACAGCGAACGTTATTTTTGGGCAAATTGCAACTGTAGAATGATGATTAAGGTGCTGATGGCGAATGGTAATTGTGGCTTAGCGTGACCCAAACGACTGGCATTGAGTTTGCCAACACGACGTCGGGTCTTTTGGAGTGTCCCTTGCAAAGTGTACGGATACCAAACCTATGTCTATCAGCACGCCCCGGTTCTGTCAATGGCCGAGAGAAGCGGCACATCGCGATGCCGATCTTCCAGCGTTCAGCGTAAGATTGTTCGATGCTAATCCCGGACTAGGCAATTGCAAGTGTTCAACTCTTCAATTCGACAGATTGTCGTTTCTTGTGAGATGACGACTAGGCAGAATTTTGTGCCCTACGCCACCTGACTCAATTCTCATGTGAGAAGGCAGACATACTCGTCTGTCAGACTGACAGTGGCGCGTCGGGTCTGGCTACATCAGGTAATATTTGGAATGAAAATTCCGATTTGCGAACGCCGTGTGGCCAAAGCTGTAATTGATACAGAGTAGTCCGCGGCATCTGCCTGGTTAGAAGCCCCTGTCATAATGTTAATTATTAGATTATTACTCCGTAACGGCGGCGTGATTATTGAGACTGGGGTCAACTCTCATTGGGATGTATTCGTCGAGGTACAGCGCCTAGCGTGTATAGGCCGCCTGGAGCCCAATATTGCGATGATCGCAAAGCCCGCGTTAAGGTTTCTGGAGGTTTCTGGTATGAAGACGGTAGGGCAGCAGAGTTTCCCATGTTCCAGGGCAGTGCGCGATACTTTTGGTGGCCGTCATCTGATAGTCGGGTGAAGAAGAATACTGAGCTGAGGCTGATTGGTGGTCCACTGAGGATGGCACCTTTCAGATGTCGGTTTATCGACATCAAGTTCCGCTACCGTCCTTGGCGGTGGTGACACTGTCAAACGGAGCCCATCGCGCTAAGCCTTGGGGAGATCCACGATGGGGGTTTATTCGGTTGCAGAGAGGTGCCATACATGGGAGTAACATGAAGAGACTTGAGAGAACTTGGGTAAAGTCACTCGAAGTCGACTCAGGTATCATCATTCCTTGGTCAACCCAGATGCTGCGCCAACGGCATTGGCATGAGCCTAGACCAACCCAAGACCGCAAGAGAGGTGCAATTTCCCAGACCCCCTCCAGTTACAAGGCTTAGGGCGGGGTTTAGAGGTTGGCATGACAGGGTGGCCGTGGTGTGGTTTGACAGCAAAAAGCATAACGATGTCTGCTCTCAGTGCTCTGGTGAATGACGAGATGCCAATACGGCGTGTGCAGGGCGCCAAGAGAGACACGGCCACCCGATTCGGGGCAGATGGGAGGCCAAGACGTTGAAATGGAGTCGGCGAGGGGCATTTCATTCGACAATATCTAATCAAGGTTAAAACATGCTCGCCCAGCTAGTAGGTATTGCTTGGGGCTGGTTTTCTGGGGTGCCAACCTGAGTAGGGCCACAATGAGATAGTCTTCACTCTGCAAGCAGCTAATCCGTGCCTTGGCTGGGCAAAGGACCCCTCGACAAGTTTCGTAAACTTCGCATCGTGCAATGGTTGGTGAGAACGGCTGCTCGGCATGGCTTTGCTGATAGCCTAACACTGCCAGCGATGGCATCGGTCGCAGCTTTGCAGAGAAACCACGGTCAGTCGCACCACGAGAGCGAAAACGAGGGCGGGCGAGGTCTATGCGAGAAATGCGAGATAGGTGAGGCGTTCCCAAGTTTCTAGGGCAGAACAGGCATGGGCAGATACGCCAATACGCGTGTTGAGTTGCGGGGAAGCGGATAGGGCCACAGCTCAGCCACTTTTCACCGAACTGAACCTATTTGCCAGTTGGAGACGACGTTTTGGTAGAGTGTGGGCCGTGGCGCCTCAGAGAGCGAAGTTACGAAGTACGAGTCGAAGAAGCCATGGGGAATGAGCTGTGAACGACGAGGTTGCCAGGACAGTCCTTGGTCGTTGATTGAGGTGAATGTACCCAGGTAGCACAGCACAGCAACTGGCACGAAGCAAGTACGTACCTGTGGTGTTGCTATGAATTGGACCTTCCCGGGCCAATCGTGGAGCTTTACTGCATCCTGCGTATTCCCATAGTCCAAACCTCGTCTCTTTAGATGCAACTCCAAAGTTCCCATGCCTCGACACCACCTACGGTCTACCTACCAACATGAGGTATTTACGCTGGACGGTTTCGGAAAGTACGAGAAGTGCAGGATGGTCCTCTGCTCCTCCAACCTACGGCTACTAATGCGGGAATACGCGCACAATCACCTCCTCACCTAACCACCATGGGTCAAGAGCGAGCCAGCTGTTCCAGGGTCCAGTGTCCCTTTGCGGGCGAAACCAGCAGCTGAATCCCGGGCGGATCGACGGAGGAATATGAGCTTACGACGAGGAGCAGGACTAGGGATAGGAATAGGAACAGGAGCAACTTCCCTCCACCTCCAGAGCAACCAAAGCACCTCCTCCATGATCCCACCTGCAGTATGCAGTGTACGTACGAACTACGAAGTACAGACTGCACGCAGCGCAACCTACCGCCGCCCCTTCCTTCCCTAATTCCTCGGACCCGAGGAACATCCGTCCCTGCGAAGTCAACCTGCCATTAACCCTCCATCACAACTTCAGAACTTCATCAGCCCATCGGATCGTCTACCTATCAACATCAACAAACGAGACCCCGCCAGGCAGCGACTATCCGTTTGGCAAAGCATGCAGACGACACCGGAGTTGACGTGGAGACGACATGCGAAATGCGGCCCTGACAGATCCTTGATTCCTTGGTCAATGTACTCCGTACGCGTGAAGAAAAACCCCCGGGAAAACGCAGTCCACGTGCACTCCCGCAACCACCCGCCACAGCCCCTTTACTATTGGGACCTTACGAGTTATGTTCGTACGGTACTCCGGATACCTTACGGATACTCCACCGTCGTCAATGGCTGCTGTTGAGTCTTGACCGATTGGCGGTTGACACTTGGGGATTAGTGGGCGATCGCAGATGCCATTTCAAAGATGTGTCCTCGACGGACGGAATTTGATGCCAAGCCGCTGGCACAAAGGACCCCAGAGGACACCGACTCTCTGGCACTCGGTCGTCCTCACGCACCGGCGCCCCGAGGCCGCGGACTGCGATTCCAAGAATACCAAGCAAGCCAAGACAAGCGCCAATCAAACGCATATCCATTCTACATTCTGCAAACAAGCGCGCCTTATTTCAAAATACCAATCCACTGGGCGCAGAAGCCTTCACCTTGTTTCTGCCCCCAAATCTGCCCAACATCATGTCGTTTACCTCGAACCCTAATAGCCCCCCAACTGATGGGTCCAAGATGATGGGTTCATGCGCAAATTCAAAGTCCTTGCCGGCCCTCCACACCCCGGCCGCTCCACGGCGGCGATGGCGATACGGCGTATACTTGCACTAGGGGCCGATGGACCCCCAGCTCGGCACCGTGAGCTGCCGAGGCTTGCACAAAAGCCGCGTTCATTTCATAATTTCAACTACAAGCGGCCGATCCTTTACGATCACCTGCCTAAAATACGGGACCCTTTGTCAGGGGACCACCAACCACGTTGGCGGTTGGTCATCAATAGCCCGTACGAAGTACCCATTTCTCTCCGATCCCGACGATGTGGACAGAGTGGGACGGGGCGAGACAGTGTTGCAGTCCGACTGGCTGCTTGCGTATGGAGTAAAGAGAAGAACAAATCGAGAAGGACAGAAAAGGAGGGAACAATATCACTGGAACAGCCAACATCCCGCACCACTGCGTTTCGGCCTTCTACTGACAGCGGAGCTAACCCACCGCCTGGACACTGCTAGGCAATGCATGCCCCCGTCCCATATGGACACAATATTCTGCACGTCGATAGAATCATCAGAGACTGAGGGGAGAAAAGTCTGGAGGAGGAAACCCGAATGCGAGAAACCCGAAATCTGCGGCCGAGAGGTTTCTCATCCTCGCTTTAATCCGACCCGTACGGAAACACATACTGCTTTCTGCTTTCCTCACACAGATGAGAGAAGCATTTACGACGTGTCCCACCCAAGGCCTGGCCCTGGGTCTCGACCATTGTATAAGCTTCCCATGTTGGGCAGTCTACTTTGATGGCAGTCGATCATGTCCACCACTGAAAGTCAACGAAAACTTTCGTCCAGGCTTATTTCCTGTCGGCCTGAAGAGAAGGAGCTTTGGTCCATTCAAAAGCAAAAGGCCCGCTGACAAAGCGCCTTGAACCCCAAAGCAACGCCCAAACCAGCAACCAAGGTTTTCCCAGCATCGTCAACCCAACTTAGACTATCCGCCCAGCCCAACACGTGAACTCACAAGGTGTCATTGCCAACACCTGCCCGAGCCCCTTCAGACATTGTCATCGGCCGTGTTTGATGTCCGTGAACAGCAAAATGCCCCCCGGGCTTACCTGGAGCAGAAATGGAAAACCAAAGCAAAAGTCCACCTTACTCAATCTTCGGACCCGAACAAAGACGATGGAACTAGTTTTTCACAAAAAAAATCGACTCATCATGGGTCATCCACTATCGGACCGCGGGGTTTACAACTTCCCGTCCCGCCCTCCGTCACAAACGCCGAGATCATAATTCGATTTCCAACCACTTAGCGGCCCCCCTTCTAACGCGCAAAGTGCTATACTCCGTAATCACCATGTACACCACGGAGTAATGTGATGCACAATTAACAGCAACGCCGTTTAACGGTCAACCTAAACCACCACCCCTCGACCCGCGCCACAACCCGCCTGGCATGCCCAAACGCAGCATCATCGCATGAACAGCGCCCTGAGCTTCCCGCGTTTAGTGGAACAAGCACTGTGGGTCGCCGCGGCGTGGGCTCTTGGGATCGAAGGAGATCGTAGGGCGGACGCATTCAGATGGTTTTCCGTCGTGTGTTTTGGAAAGTTTTTCTTTCTCTTGTCTCTGCTTGTTTGTCGCGAGACCAACCCTGCTTCATCCTGCACCTGTAAGCCTTTACCCGCCAGAATTGGATCCGCGTCTACAAATCTGGGTGTGTGTGCGGTATATGCGTTGTGTGCGTCTTTGCGCAGACCGTTGGCTTTTGCGCCCTGCCACTTACCAGCCCGCCGCCGCAGATGCAGAACCATCGACAACTGCTGGCGCAACCACACACCCTCCCCCTGTCACCCCTTGATCGACCAACAAGGATCACGGATGCTCCAGGGGGACCTTTGTCCAGAACTAGAATTGACCAAGACTCTACCAAGTGGCTTAGAGATGAGGGGCGTGACGACGCCTGACCGACTGCTCGCCCGCCTTCTCGGCGGACTTGGAAGATACATTTGGTCCGCGCCAACTCGAACCTGTTGATCGTTGCGTGTGGTGGTGCGATATACGACCAGAAAGCGGCTCATCTCACATGGCAGGAAACCAAGGCGAGGTCGGCAGTCTACGTTTGGCAGCATGGGAGCTTTGTCTAGTCATGCCATGTTGCACCATCGCTGTCATTTCGGCCCCCAAATCTCATGAGAGATGCTGGCACGGCTGCTGAGCTGTACGGTCGATCAAATCACCAAGTGGGGGGCCACCAGAAGCTTGAAGAAAGTATCACGTCGCGGTGGGAATTTCGCGGTCCGCAATCGTGTTAGGAGCTCGCTGGGAGGTCGCCGATGGGTACGGTGAGGCCATCTTCATCTCTCAATGAATGCTACCTTGCGTGACACTGACTAAAACAGCGCGACAGGCTTCTGACAGTTGTCTCCCTGCGGAATCTTAGGCCCTGCAACTGTCTTATTGTTGCTCGTCCGTCCCCTTCGGCGACGGCGAGAAACGATCTTTTTACATTCCTCCGCCGCCGACCTTCCCCCCCTGGTGAGAGTTATAAGTCGTGACGTGGAGACCCCGTGGCTCATCCCCTTGGCAACTCTGAGCGTCGCATTCGCTCCAAACCCTCCGGGGCGTCGGTCGCAGCGTTGGTAACCCTGAGAGCAACAAATTGGCATGCTGCCATGCTCGCAGGGCAATTTTGGGAGGGGGCCGACTTTGACTGACGGAGCTGGCTCCTGGTAAGGAAAAAAAGAACCCAAGTTCCTCTTTTAAGATTTTCCTCTGGGCTGCGGGCCTAGTGAAGAGAGGGTAAGCCGGGCGTGGTGGCACAGGGCAGGGCAGGTAGGGTGCCCGCTGATACGGTAGCGTAGTATGCCGTCGCCGATTCCATCCTTCTCTTTTGGGTTTTAGGAGAGAGGAATTGTATAGCAGTTCGTTCCATTTCCGGGGAACAGGTAGGTAGGTCGCCAGACAGAGTGTGAGACACACAAATAAGTAGACTTTTTTGTTTCGAGTCTTGTCACCGTCTTTTTTGTAGCGTCATGCCCTCTCCCATTACCAGAGTACGCTTCAGGTCAAACCTGGGAGGTTACAGCAGGGGGAGCAGTCGGCTAAAGTCAATAGAGCTTGCCTCTCTCGCTGCACACTACAACGACAGGCAGGAGAGCCTAAAAAAAATAAAAAAATAAAATGATTCGCCGACCTGGGGCTGCTGGGTTTGAAAAGCTCACGGACTATGTGTCTTACAATCCAAATTAGGTAGAAATTGCACGCCATTGAAAACGAGCCAGACATTGGCTGGAGAAACTCTTGGTACAGAGTATGCTTCGAAGAGTGGTGGTTTTGTTTTGTATGTATCCTGGTACTTTGACCTCTCCCAAACTCCCTCCCCCCAGTACAGCTTTATGCAAGCTTGTCCTTCCGTCCCAACTCTTGTGAAGGAGGGGTGGGCGGTAAGATAAACCTTTTTCTCTCTAAAAATTGTAGGAAAAGCTGCTGGACTCAGCGTCATCGGCCGTTACACACGAATAGGAAATAATAGACACGGTCAAGAAAAATTTGATACAATGGTTTCGATTTTTGTGTCGTCGTAACATGAAAATCGTCGCCTCAATGCTAATAATCTCCTTCTTCTCCCAAAGGCCGTTACCCGCCCACTATCTCCATCACTTTGAACGGTGGCGATTAACCTCATCCGAGTTGACCAAAATGAAGAACAAATAAACCACCCCCCCCCCAAAAAAAACAGTCATACGCCTTTTCTCTCTCTCGCGAGATGGGGGTCCCTTTCCTAGAAAAAGCAACGCCTTCGCGGTGTATCATCGAAACCCAGAATTCGCAAAACCCTTGACCCCATGTCTTCTGTGCGCCTAATGATCGAAGCCCGACCGAAGCCCAATTCTATAACTCGTAATCCGTACTCGAAATGCTCAGTGGCTTTTAATGATTGGGTTACAGTCGCATTGGCTCGCCGTCGTAGCCTCCGTAGATCATCGGGTCGCCCATTCCCATCATGACTTCCGGATTCGGACAGTTGAGGACGTGGGGCTTAATAGTTCCGAATTCTGACTCGATCAGGCCTTGGTTGAGCATATCCATGTTGGTGAGGGCGCCGGGATGTTGGAAGAATTGCTGAGCGAGGTCCATTGAAGAGGGTGCTGATTGCCTGGGCATATTCCATTGTTGGTAGGCGTTCATGGGCGGGGACTGGTTTTGTTGGAACATGGCGGCGGTCGGATCGATGGGTGAGGCGACTGAGTCGACATCGAACTCAGTGTACCCTGTAGAGAAGCTTTGTGGAGACATGGTCATCGGGTTGTTGTGGCTGCCAAAGACGGCTTTGCGGTAGTCGGCCTCGAATTCGGAGTGATCGATGTCGGAAGAGCTTGCGCGGTCTGAACGCTCGCAACTTGAGTTAGAATCGACCTCAACCTTCATGGCCTTTTCGACGTCGCGTTCCTTCTGCTGTTCCTCCAATTGGCGTGCCAGCTCGGCCAAGCCTGCCTCGTCCTCAGGGAATACTGAGTGAACTGGCAAGTCGATGTCGCTGTTGGGGCGGATACATCCAAGCTTCTGGGCAATGTTGTGGATGACGGGTTGTCCTCTGTCGTTGAGCTCGGGCTCACCAAGGTCCCATTGTTGTTGGTTCCTAACCATGGAGTACAACTTGTGGACGGTGGCAATAAGGGCGAATTGTGTGTGCTCGAGAACCTCAGCGTACCCTCTGGGCAGCTGCTTGTACTCGGTCTTCTTGCGAACGCCGGCGGTGCAGACGAGACCGTCGTCCTTACACCTTTTGCAGGGGAATTCTCCGTCGCACTGAGTAAAATTCCGAGTCAGATTGGCGTAACTAGAAGGTTGGGTGTGGTGGTGGTGCTTACCTTGGTCTTCTTCATACGACACCGTTCGCAAGCCTTCCATACTCTCTTGTGACGCCCATCGGCAGACATGGCTTGAGAGTTATGATCGTGATGTTGTGTCGCGTTGTGAGGGCTGGCGCGCTTGCCAGTGTGGCGGTTGGGCTTGATGGACTTGGAGCTGGAAGAGCTCTTTCTGGATTTTTGATCCTCCAAGGGAGGTGTGGGTAGACCGCTTCCCATTGTGATGAATGATTACTAGTTATTGGGGTAGTAGGTAGGTGGCAGTGAGGAAGGATAAGGTGTGGCGATGTGTGGAAGAGGAAGATGTTGTTGATGTAGAGCGAGGGGCAAACTGCGTATAAGTCTGGGTGAAGGGAGGTGAGAGCCGTGTAAGTGAACTATATATGATAGCGAGAACGAAGTCGACCCAGTTAAAGGGAAGAATCAACCAAAAAGGTAAAAGAGTCGGGATGACACAGCCAAGAGTCCGCGGCGCTAGGGTCAAGAGGGCGGGACAGTAAGCACGGCAAGGTACTGGGATGGAGGGCGTAGGCAAATTATTAATGTCGAGCAGCAACGGGGAGACGACGGGGAGTAGACGGGGTGCGTCTAATGTGGGCGCGCGAGATTATGTGATGCGCAGGGAAAAGGCCTCGGAAGCTTTTGGGGGTTGATAGAGTTCGGTCGCTCGCAATGCTAAGGAGGGCAGAGCAAGCAAGCAGTGGACTGTGGAGGTCGAGGAGGAGAGGAGAGGACAGGGCAGCAGGCCGGGGGGGGTGGGTGTGAGGAGTGTGTGTGAGTGTGCGGGCACGAGGAGCGGCGTGCGGCGTGGAGTTGGAGGACGAGGTTGCGGTTGCTGGTGCTGATGCTGGGTTGCTTTGGTGCGGTAAGGTAGGTACCTCTTGGAAACCGTACCTCTTTACGATGCTAGTACGGCGGTACGACGAGTACAGTGGAGGAGGGCAGGGCAGACTAGGTATTCGTAGCCTGTAGGGGATGTCTGGTCTGCTGGAGCTGGAGCGAGTGCGGATGCGGTGCGGATGCGGGTGTTCCAATGTTGTCCAGGTACCTTACGAATAGGTGGTGGTGCAGGGCGTGTGGTGTGGGTTTGCTGGCCTGGTCTTGCTGCGGGTGGCATTAACGGTCGGCGACGTCTTTATGTCCGAGTGCGCGGGCGGGCCCAGTTAGTTTGTGAAAATGAGACGGGCCTCAATAGGGATCCTAGTTCCGTTTTGTGCTCGCTCAATCGAGAATGTGTGCCAGTCACGCCAGTGAGGTAACTGTCGGGTCGTGTATCAAAAGTACGTCGGGTACGTAGCCAAGTTGTGGGATGTAGCTGGTCGTAGCAGCGCGCTAGCAGCCTTTTTTGGTCCCAAAGAGCTAGCCGCGAGAAGGAAAAGTCCGCTGCGGAGTTCAGAGGACGGCGAGGATAGGACTTTGGATAGGGATTGGGATTTGATTTGCAAGCCGGCTGCTGCTTGTGCAAAGTACGGCTTATTTCTTGCTGCTTTCCGTTGTTGATACGGCGGATTGCTGACTGCAGAACCGCGGACGTCTCTCGAGCGGATCTTGTTGCCGAGCCTGCTGTGCTGTTCCAGGGTCTTGGGTCTTTCGTTCTTTCTTGGTCCCCCTTTTCTCTATTCGTCACCAAAGTCCTTGATGAATTGCGGGCGGGTGGATGCGGGACGATGTGTGGTGGATGGCTTGTCTGTTTAGGCTGCTTCTTGGTGTGGCAAGATATGATTCTCTTCAATTTTGGTGTGTAAGATAAGACCTAGGGGCTTTTATTTGTTTCGAAGTAATGTTGTTGCCTTGGAGGTAGGTAGCAGTCTGAATCAATTAAATGTTTCTGGGTCGAGACGGTCTTTTAAAATAAAATAAAAATCCTTTTACATCAGATCACTGAAGCTGAAGGTATCGACGTCAGGTCGGCGGAGTTGGAACTGTGATGGTGATCAAGGTCCCCGATTCGAAACATGAATAGCTTCTGACTCCGTTGTAGGGGGATCCCAATCAGACGGGACAGCCGACCACATCTTATATTCAGGTAGCAGGGTTATCCACAACTCTGCCGGGATCAACAGATGGGATCTTTCCAAGCAATGAGGCTTGGTCATGAACAAAAGATGACATGATGCTGCGAGCATGTTGGCACGGGCCGAGTCTGGACCATTTGTCTCGGGGAACACTCGACAAATCGTGAACGGAACACTACTTGCTAGGAACCAAGCCGAGTATACGCCTCATGAAAGTGGGTTGCACGAGGACAAGGTCCATAATGGTGCTGTCAACTTTCAAGGGGTAGGTAAGGCAGGTTGAGCGGGTCCGCTCCTGTGACTGATCGGTACATGACAATACTTCGGGAGTGGAGGTTGCTAAGTCCCCGACGACCTGAGTAAGCTCTGCATGGGTGATGGGCCCAAAGAATGGAACGAAATACCTACCAGTCGACGAAGACATGCGAGAGACACTCAGGCAGACAAATCGCTCCGAGACTGACAAAAAAAAAATCACCCGCTCTCTCTCTCTTTCGAGTGTCTCTGTGCTCTCTGTTTGCAACCCCACTCGTCCGTTCGGGACGGTGAAGCAAGGTCGACACCAAACGTCTCTTCTCTCTCTTGTCTCAGATCCGTAGATTTGATCTGGCCGTTTTCGGAGTGAACGTGTAGTTGTGTACCTTCCCTTGCGCCGTACCATGCCAACTCGCTGAGCCGCGGACGCCATCGAGCAGGACACCTGGTCAAGGTTCAATGCAGTGAGTCCGATGACCAACACCGGGTTGTTCATAATCCTAAATTTCTCGACATTTGCATGCGGCGGAATCTGACGGGGCCGCTGACGGGGCGATCAGGGTGAACTGCAACCCCGTACGCCAAGAAACCGGCCTGTTGACGAGGCCGGCGCCGAGGGCGGGGTCTTGACTTTGGCTGCGCGTTCATCATCGACGATACCGCGATTCTACTATTCTAGATCAGTAGCTCGGAGCCGCGATGCTGTGCAACCCTCGAGACTCAAGAGGTTCTGGACGCAAATGGAGACAAGACAACAAGGCATGATTGAATTGATGACGCCAGAGACCGAGTCTGCCAACTGGCATTGCAATGCCTGGTTGGTCCCTGAGTGGAATGCCAATTTGGGCAAAATCGACAGGGTGCCAGGGTCGATGAATCATGAAAGACCATAACCATTGGGCTGGGCCAAAATCTGACCAAATTTGTCGCATTACCCAGATACGCCTTACAGGCACTACCACGGTCTCAATGCTCTCCTGTTCTCCTATCCGGTGCCTAAATTGGTCCAATGGCTCTTGTATGCCCGACGGGTAGTTGACAAGGTGCCGCCGGGAGAAAACAGCTCATCTTTGTGAGGAGCGAAAACGTCCCTTGTCCATAGGGCTCGAGCGTGTCAGTTGTAGAGTCGACTGCCTGCGAGACAGGTTCGGAGAACAGACAGTGGAAGACGTTCGAGCTCTCATCCATGCAGGGACTTCCTCGTTGAGGCCAACGGTGCCGACAGCCTCGTGTGGGATGGTCGCCGCGGGCGGACTTTTGTGTCATCCTAATTCACTCCATCGTGAAAGATCCCATGCTGTCGGTGCGTGCAAAGTCTGATATGCGCCAAGAGCGACAGGTACTACTCCGTAGTAGGCCAAGGTTCATGATGCTTCGGCGAGCTGCATAGAAGGCAGGTAGTCCCTGACCGCGAACTCTGTGAGAGCTCACGGGCGGTGCGGCTCAAGGCAGGTCGTTCAAGGTCGACTGACGGCAACACGAGGAGATGCTTCAGGCCAAACTTCTGGCCAGCGCAGCACTCTGTGCGGCGGGAGCGTGCAGTCGGATTGAGTCCACCATCAAACCCGTCTGATACCATGACACCGTCCGAGGGTGAAAAAAGTGTAAAGACGTCATGGCGTGTAGTTTCGAGCAGCAAACTTTATTTCAAAGTCAACATTTAAGAGCCGCGATAATGTTTCCCTGCCGAGCATGCCTCGGCCGCTTCCCACGGCGGCAGGCGGAGCCAATGGTTCGTTGATCGATCGTGAAGGGAAGGGTCGGGCAGGTGGACTGACACGAAGTCCGGCGGCGATGAGGGGAGAGTTGGGAGTTGGAACGGAGGGTGATAGCCTATTCGCCGACGGTGCGCGGAGGGATTGCGGAGCACGGACAAGATTTGAGATAGCGAGGCCGCTCTCTGGCCCGCTCCTCCGCCGGCGGTAGGTAGGTTCACGGTCAACCATTGACAAGCCGCCAAGACAGGTCTCGTGAGGCAAAGTGCCGTGCCGTGAGGAGGAGGGACTCGAGAGAGGTGTAACGCTGTACCGCACGGGGCAGAGGCTCGCAAGGTCAGCTCGAGGTGATCAAGGGTTGGTTTGAGCTGAAGGGCGTCGGCATGCAGTCAAGATTTATGCGGAGATGGTCGGCGATGGTAAGAAGCAGTGGTGATGATGTATCTGTGGCGGATCAAGTTGCAATGCATCAAGCTGAACCAAAGTCGAGGCACAGGAGTGGTAGGTAAGGTAGGTAGTGGTAGGCTGGTATTCTTAGTGTTTGCCATAATCCATCCTTTCCATGTGGAATGTGAGATCCAATGTCTGTCAGAGACAGCTGCCCCAAGTCCCAATGACGGTCAACCGCCACTACCCATTCGAGAGAGCTACACCATGGCTGCTTCCTTCTTGGGATCCTGGCTTCTGGGATCTTGGGGTTCTTTCTGATGTCTGAGACCGTGGGCGGTGGAGGGCCAACACCCACTTGCTTACTTCCCTGCGTCTTTGCCCTGCGCCAGCTGCCATGTTGTTCCAGCCCTGGCCCGCGTGCCAAGCATCGAGGGTTCCGTGTACGAATATCTTGGTGTGTGCTTCTCAGCTGGTTTGGGACCTGGAGTGTGTAGGTATGGATACCTTACACAGCACCTCGTTCGCATCTGGGGTAGCTGCATTCGTATCCGTACGAGTACGATGTATTGTCTTGTGCGGCGTGTGGTCACCGGCGTGCCTGCGTCCAAGCTGTCGGTCCCTTGCTCTTGTGAGGTTGGCCGCATCGGTTCCCGAAACGGTGCCCGGGCGGAGGAGGGCGAGAATAAGCAATGGAGATCATTTTTGACCGGACCAAAAGCCCCAGGTGCCCAGGGTAAACCGTAAGCTAGGGCAAAATTAGGCTACTTTGTCGTGGAGATGCAAAGCGGGAAACAACCGCGGGCGTGGATGAGGTGCGGTGCGTGGGTGCGTGGGTGCCAGCAGGCCGGGGAGGATCAGGCACGCTCCAGTGCCCCACTTGAGGGTAAAGGTGTGCGGTGGTGGGTCCCGTGTGGGTCTCGACAAGATAACGCTCATGTAATCGGCGAGGTATTCCCGCCGGATTTAACTGGCAGATTCTTCCTTCCTGACCACAAGCGCGATGGATGCTTTCAACGAAATAGTGGACATGCCCCTCACAACTATCACTTTTGCTAGTTTTGCTGCACCTCATTCTTCTCGCTCACGTCCGTTGCTCAGTCACTATAACCGCATGGCATGCTCGTTGTGACTCATCTAGACAACCCCCAATCATGACCCCGGATACTTATTGGAACACTGCATGGCTCTGTCTCCGGGGGGTGAGACAAATGCTCCTGTCAGGTATGATAATTGCACGTAACGTTGGCATCATTGTGTTGTCTTCCGTTACCCCATGCCGATCGGGCCTGGGCATAGATCCACGGAGCGGAGATAACAACTCCGTGTAAGTGGTTGCTTACCGACAATCACGCTAGGGTCTACCACAGACACAATGATACCTACGGGGACTCACCGAATGCCACGGCACCCATCCAGCTGATTTTCTAGCTCATCGCGATCGGTTTTGACACACCCTTCGCCATCTGCGGCGTCCGTTGCAAACAGAGCCATCAGGGTTCGACCGGGATAGTGTACGCAGAGAGAAGCATGGCTTCAGCCCAAGGAAGCTGCCATGTACCTCTGAAAATGATATCATGGTGGTACCATCAGGGAGCATCCTATCTACCTAGAACTCATAGCGAGCCGTCAACACCACTTTGTGCGCGGCGGTAACAAAAAGCCAACAGTCAACAGCTTTGGGCTGTCTCATCGGCCTGTGGCTGGCGCCGTCGCCGACTCCAATCGGCCTTAACATGGGACGAATTAGAAATCTCACGGCGGAGGAGCAGGAAAAGCTTAGTTAATCGCCGGACTGGGTGGGATGGATGGTTTGAAGGAGAGACAACCAATCATCCTAACCATTGATTACACAGCATCGAGAAACCGACTGTTACCTAGTATTAGTACCTAGTACGGAGAATACTATAGCAGCCGCATCCCACCCACCCACCATCGTCTACTACTTGCATGTACCTTTCCATCAACCCCCATTTCGTGTACGCTACGAAACACAGGATGTGCAACGGAAGCACTACCAAAGAGCGGAACATAGCCCGTCGGTCGTGACCTCATCCTCGCTCGCATACACCCCCCATCACGATAATGGGTGGAATCATCGTGGGACTGTTGAATTTTTCTAGAAGACGGTTCTTCCCCTCCACCGCACAAATGCCGATGGGTCATCTCCGCGTCTATATTAGACTTAGCGTGTATTCTAGCTCAACTGACTAATCGGCTGCACTGCTGTCAAGTGCCGCATCCACTTGACCCCATTCAGGAAAGTGCCGCTCACACGCGTAGTTGCAGTTCAACACTGATCTATGAGTACGTACCTTTTCAAGAATACGTTGAATGCTGTATTCTCCGAGTACCTCTACTGTCCCGTCCCATTGAAACTACCATCCATCTCCATGCATCATCTTCCAGAATCTCAATCTTTGTTTATCTTCGCGCAGCTTCTTCATGTCGCCTGACCATCGGGGATTTCCTCCGCCGTTGAATCCCGCCCGGGAATCGCATCGGTCTGGGTTTTCACGATATACTCCGGCCAATTCTGCTCAGCACGGTCTGCTATCAACTGCCTACCTACTTCCGAGGTATGATTCTTGATCAACGCCCGCCCGTTTGCGTCGTCAAATCAACCCAGATCTTTCACGAGGCATCGATCGCCCTGTTTCTCCTGAATCTTCCCCGTCTGGTCTGTTGTTGATGACGCCGCCTGCCCGCTGTCATCAAGGGCCACATGTTATCAATAATCTTAAGTCCGCCACGCCCAATCCGTAACACGGGGCTACCTACACTAATACTATACAGTAGGGTTGGCTCGGATCAGTATCCGCCAGGTAGCGCAGCCCGCCCAGGCCAGCGGATGCCTCCCGCTCCCCGTCTGGATTTGCATTAGCTTTCATAAAGTTATCCTGGGCGATCATGGGCTAATTGCATCAGCCAGCACCAGCCATCTCTCGGCAACGAAAGCGGCCTTTCGGCCTCCGACTTATACTCTCAACCACCGAACAGAGCTACCCCAACCCTGGCCCTCCTATTTCATTTTTCTCCTACCGTCTACGACGGTACGACCTAGACAAGTTGAACCCGGTCTGCTGGCTGCGCCGCAAATCTTCCATTCGGTACGGAGTATCCGTACGTAGTACAGATACAATCGCGACATCGAAACTTCCCTCTCCATACACCACGAGATCGGGATCCAAGGCTTTGGGCTCCCCTGGTCCCCGTCCCGCGGATACCTCCTCATGACCCCCTAAATCATCTCTTTCAGGGTCTTCCATCAAGGCCCATATTAGGGAGAAGCCGGAATCTTGAAAATGGCTCTCTTAGACTATTCGCCTCCTTTCCCCGCCATCACGATACCAACGCACCTGAACACGGGTGGAGGAAGGTACGAAGTACACTGCTCTACATACATTTTCGGCTACCACCTACAGACCAGGCCCTGAAGCAGGGATATCATCAGTATCGGATAGTCCACCGATTATTCTACCCTTGTACCCACTGTCTTCTAGGCGCCAGCTGCCCTACCAGCTTCCCTATGTATACGTAGGGCCATCGGTACGGTTCTACTCAGAAGCGGACTTCGGCTTCTGCTAATTTCCAGTTCGGCCGAGGTTCGACTCCACCACGACTGGCTGCATGACGTGTGGTCGCATTGGAGCCTCATTGCTTGTCGGCGCGGCGTTGGAACTGTCCCGCTACGCGATACCTACTTTGATTTGGTGTTGGTTCTCGACCTTTGTCGGTCTGAAGGATTTCCAATCGAGTCTCCTCAACGTATCAAGGCTTCCAAATCGGTTTGGACAGGCAACTTCGCGCCATGAAAATGGTCATCGGCAAACTAGACTATCATGCCACGATGACATGCGCAAAACCTCCCCTTCGTATCTAGGAGAAGTTGGGATGCAAGCGACGTCATCTAAGCGCACGAAGCTCTAGCTAGAGGCTTGAGCCTTGACCTCTGTGCATACCGGCGGAACATTTACAGTCCTCTGTCGGCCCGTATCTACACCTACCTTGACAACGCACAAACTTGGAATATCGCAAGGGTCGTGGATTTCAGATGCTGAACACCGGCTCAGGAACTAAGGAACCATCATCATGCTAGGCAGCATCCCTTCACATGGGCACCCCTTCTGACGATTCCGCACCACCCAGGACAAGCTCGTGAATACCGAACGACGTCTGCAGCACCGCCGTCTGATAGCTGATACGCACCGGGGTTGCACGTCTTCCCGTCCCTGGTGGATTGTTGGGGCGCATGATCGCGCTGTTTACACTCAAAATCGACAAGCTGAGTTCTCCAGCAACCGAGGCTTGTGGGGTTCGCTAGTAAAAGAGTTTTCCGTTATTGTGTTTCTTTGCTACTCCGTACGCAGGTGAGAGTAGACCTCGGGCCCGGGAAGACTCGCGAGCGGGATTGCGGAATTGAAGATACACGGATGCCGATGTGGTCTTGGCGCCCGGCAGCGGGTCCCGGAGCGGCGTCTCTTGATGGTACCCACGTACCCGGAGGACCTGTTCACAAAGTGCACCAGAGTTGAGGCCGTTGTGGTGTGGATCCCCACGAACGGAAAACAATTTCCAACAGGATCAAGTTACGGTTGACTCTTTCGGCGAACGGGAAAGCTTGAGACATGATCGGAACAAGTGGTCCGACTGACTCTATGCGCGAGCCCGCTGCCATGTTTACGTCTTCTTTTTCTTGGCCGACTCTGCATCCAGGGGGTCCTAAATCTCGATCTACAACGTTCCTCAATCGTTCCTCAATCGTTCATCCTGGGTATGTTTGGAAGGCAGCTGAATGGCTGGTTGCGGAGCAGACTCGCCTACGCCCGGGCGACAGTGAAGAGCGGTTGGACTGTCGAGTCACGCCACCGGCCCCTGTCTGCAAAATATTCGGGGGAGTGGATCTGGACCCCCGTTACTATCTCCGGGCTGAATCTGAGAATTCCATGGACATCTATGCAAAGACTTTCAGGAGACCTGCGACACAAGAACAGAAGTCTCTTACGACTCGGCAATTAAACTGGTCTCTTTCAGGTGGGCCATCCGCCAAGGGTCGAGAAGCGATAGTACCACGAGCAACAAGGCCTGAACGATTCGCATGCATGCACTGATATGGTTTCG